TAAAGCCTAGGACTGGCTTTGTTTTCCAGCAAGGAGCAGGGCTCACAGCAGACTCTTACCAGTCCTAGATTTCCCAGCCATTCCTGGGTGGCAGAAGTGGATAAATAGAAAATGGAAGCCTCTCTACTCCCAACGTCACATAAATCACTCAGGGACCCCACTGGCATCACAAGTTGATGGATGATCAGTTTGGTGACAATGTTCCCATCAAGAATTGGCATCAAAGGGGCTGGAGAAATAGCACAGTGGGTAGGGCGTTTGCCTTGCACGTGGCTGACCAGGTTTGATCCCCAGCATCCCATATGGTCCCCTAAGCACTGCCAGGAGTAACCCCTGTGCATCGCCAGGTGTGACCCAAAAAGCAAAAAAAAAAAAAAAAAGAATTGGCATCATGGGGCTGGAGCAATAGCACAGTGGGTAGGGCGTTTGCCTTGCACGTGGCCGACCCGGGTTCTATTCCTAGCATCCCATATGTCCCCTGAGCATCGCTAGGGGGTAATTCCTGGGTGCAGAGCCAGGAGTAACCCCTGTGCATCGCCAGGTGTGACCCAAAAAGCAAAAAAAAAAATTGGCATCATGGGGCTGGAGCAATAGCACCACAGTGGGTAGGGCGTTTGCCTTGCACGTGGCCGACCCGGGTTCTATTCCTAGCATCCCATATGTCCCCTGAGCATCGCTAGGGGGTAATTCCTGGGTGCAGAGCCAGGAGTAATCCCTGTGCACCGCCAGGTGTGACCCAAAAAGCAAAAAAAATTGGCATCAGTTTGGTGATAATGTTCCTATCAAGAATTCTTGCTATATTATCTTGATGAGGAAAGGTGAGTAGATTACACAGCTGAAGGATTTTGTTGCATAAGTTTTTAAGGCTTATGCAATTCAGAATTAGATTTTCATTCATTTTGAAATTGTTCAGCTTTTGGGGCTGGAGAAATAGTACAGTGGGTAGGGCGTTTACCTTGTAGCTGGCTGACCTAGGGTTGATCCCTACCTCAGATAGCCCCCAGAGCCCACCAGGAGTGATCCCTGAGTGCAGAGCTAGGAGTAAGCTCTGAGCACAGCAAGCTATGGCTAAAAAAAAAAAATTGTTCTGATTTTCTGGGCAGAGTTCATGCCAGAGTGACTTCTGTGTCTAATACCCTTTAGGTTGGTTAACAAAGGAGTGGCAGTTATTTCTTGCTCAGTCTAAGCCAGTAAACTAGAACTAATTTTGTTTTTCTTTTTGCTTTTTGGGTCACACCCAGTGATGCACAGGGGTTACTCCTGGCTCTGCACTGAGGAGTTACTCCTGGCGGTGCTCAGGGGACCATATGGGATGCTGGGAGTCAAACCCGGGTCGGCCGTGTGCAAAGCAAACGGCCTACCCACTGTGCTATCTCTCCAGCCCCAAACTTGGACTAATTTTTATTTTTATTTTTTTAATTTATTTTATTTTTTTCTTTTTGGGTCACACCCGGCGATGCTCAGGGGTTACTCCTGGCTCATGCACTCAGGAATCACTCCTGGCGGCGCTCAGGGGACCATATGGGATGCTGGGAATCGAACCTGTGTTGGCCATGTTGGCTGCGTGCAAGGCAAACGCCCTACCCGCTGTGCTATCGCTCCAGCCCCGGGACTAATTTTTAAAGAGACTGAAACACACCTCTCTGAAACATGACTGAAACACACCTCTCTGAAACATGCACACCTCACTCAACAGCCAAGAGCTTTCATCACTAATAATGTACTAGGGGTGGGGTGGGGGGGTAGGTAAGGGATGGAGGTCAGTGGCACTACTACTGCCTTGTATGTGTGAGTCCCTGGGTTTGGCCCTTGGCAACATTACACACACACACACACACACACACAATCTTTTTGGGTAATAAGTTATGTACTTTTAAAAAAATTAAGTTTTGGGGCTGGAGTGATAGTACAGTGGGTAGGGTGCTTGCCTTGCACACGGTCAACCTGGGCTCAATCCCTGGCAACTCATAATGGCTCCCTGAGCGCCACTAGAATAATTTCTGAGTATTGCTGGGTGTGGTCCAAAACCAAAAAGAAACTTTTTTAAAAAAACTTTTTTTGACACCTGGAGTATTCAGGGTCTGTGTGTGGCTTTGTGCTCAGAGATCGCTTCTTGTGGTGCTTATGTGACCATATGAGGTGCTAGGAATCAAACTAGGTCAGCTGCATGCCAGGTAAGTGCCGTACCCTGTGAATTCACAGGAAGGTGTGTTTGCTGAGAGCTGTTTCTAATCCTTCCCAGTGGAGAAACAAAGAAACAGGGATCACAGACTGATGGTGAAAATGAACCATTTAATGCAGAGGTGTTAAAGGTAAAGGTAAAGACCCTCCCGTTGTTCATCGATTTGCTCGAGCGGGCCCAGTAACGTCTCCATTGGAGACTTTGTTGTTACTGTGTCTGGCATATCGAATACGTCACGGGGAGCTTGCCAGGCTCTGCCGTGCGGGCGAGATCCTCTGGGTAGCTTGCCGGGCTCTCCGATAGGGGCGGAGGAATAGAACTCGGGTCGGCCATGTTGGCTGCATGCAAGGCAAACACCCTACCGCTGTGCTATTGCTCCAGCCCACTAACAGAGGTGTTAGCATACTTATATAACATATATATAACTTATATAAGTTAGCATACTTATATAACAACTAAGAGGGCTTGAGGTTAAGGACACAGGTGTGATTGATCATTTGCATAGGTTAAACATCTGGAAGTTTGCATAGATCATTTACATAGATAAAACATAGGAAATTCTCTTTTGGGGAGATTAAAGCAAGGTGAAACTCTGTATCCCAGGAACATCTACATTGCTTTTATCTTTGTATGGATAAACACGTAAGAGACAAAGATCCCAACTTTTAATTCTCTGTGCTGAGACCAAACGAGGCTTTTGGCACTTAGTTCTCTGGGCTCTGAGAGCAAGTAAGGCTTTTTACCTAAATCCCAGACAAAGTCCTCAAGCCAGTTCATCTTGCCCTTCCCCATGGAGGTCCTATCTCTTAAGTCATAGCAGTTTGGAAAATGCATTTATACTTTCTAGATTGTCCTATTTCGATGCCAGGGTAGCTTTGTCACCCACCCATCCCAGTCCTACGGCGAGACTTCCCTTTTGGTGTGTTAGGAACTACAGTAACTGAAGCCTGAGTCAAGTAATTATGATCAAGTAATTATGTCCAGGAATAGATATATTTCAGAGTCAATCAACTCCCAAATATTAGGAGCATAGCATTGATAGTCTTCTGTGTTTAACCAAAGAACAATGTTCCATTATAGAATATAAAAAGGCTATAGGGGAAATAGAAAAGCAGGTACAAATACACAGCATTTCAAATACAAAGCAGTACAAACACAAAGTTCAGAATTACCATAAAGTTTTGACTTATAAGTTATCATGACTGAGTTGGGGAACTGTGACAACGAGAGATAAAATACAAAGGAAAGGTTAAAAATAAACTTTAAATTAGGGACGCTCCAAGAGCATGTTAAGTTTCTCTGAGGGGAGGAAGCATGTTAGGCTTCACTGAAGAAGCCTAAAGTACTAAGGGTTAATAGCCAACAAAAGTAAAGGTTGTAGATAGACTTTAACTAAATTAGGGATGTTAGCAAGGGCATGACAAGCTTCTCAGGGAGGAGGAAAAGGAGCAAATCACCCGTGAAGACGAAAACAAGGTTAATATTTAACATCAACTCCTGTATTATCTGGCCCAATTTCTGAAAGTGTCATGAAAATAAGAACAATGCAGATTTGTTTATCCAGTCATTAGGCGCCTAAACGTAAGCCAAACATATATATATATATATATATATATATATATCACTTTATCACTGTCTTCCTGTTATTCATTGATTGCCTGGAGCAGGCCCCAGTAATGTCTCCTCTGTCCAAGCCCTGAGATTTTTAAAAAGTGCCACATTTGAGGCTCTTTCGGGGTCAGGAGAATGAGACCCATAATTGTTACTCTTTTTGGCATATTGAATACGCCTCGGGGAGTTTGCCAGACTCTGCCGTGTGGGCAGGATACTTTTGGTAGCCTGCCAGGTTCTTCAGAGTAATAACTAGATGATAAGATGTCTCGTGGCCAGGAGCAGGGTTTTATAATCTCTGGGTCTTGGCCATTGATGGGATTACACAGCGGCGGGGGCAGATGGTGGGTGTAACACCTATATACTGGAAGATGTATATATTTATTTTACTTTCTGGGTTACACCCGGCAATGCACAATGCTTATTCCTGCGTCATGCACTCAGGAATTACTTCTGGTGGTGCTTGGGGTCCATATGGGATGCTGGAAATCGAACCCGGGTTGGCTGCGCGGAGGCAAATGCCCTACCCGCTGGGCTATCGCTCCAGCCCCCACATATTCTTAAACTGGTTTGAGGACCAGGAGCCAGAGCAATAGCCCTGAGGTAAGGCGTTTGCCTTGCCTGCGGTCCCCATCACCCAGATGGCCCTATGTGTTCCCCAGGAGTGATTCCCTAGTGCAGAGCCAAGAATCGTCCCGTCCCTGAGCACCGCCGTTGTGTGACCTAAAAATAAGGCACGGGGGGCTGAGAGGCGCGGCTGCACAGCCCCGAGACCGAGCTCTGCACGAGCGGCCGGAGGGGCCGGAGGGGGCGGCCTTCCCGCAACCGCTGGCCCAAGCCCTGTCGTAGAGGTGCTTCTCTACGGCTCCTCCGAGTGACCTGCAGGCCCGCCCCACGCACACCTGTGAACCTGGCCGCGTGCAGCCACCCCGGCGGAAGGGGCATCTCCTCAGGCCCAGCCTCCGCGGAGCTCGGTGGGATGCCCCTTCCGCGCCCCGACGCCAAGGAGCCCCTAGCAGGGCGGTGCCCGCCCGCACCAGGAGCCCACAGCGAGCCCGTCCGCGGCGCGCCAAGTGCGCGGACCGCCTGGGTGGGACTTCCGTAGCCCAGCGGACCAGGCCGAGCGGGCGGGACTTCCGGAGGCGCCGACCCTGGAGTGGTAGGCGGGCGCGGACTTCCGGCCGCCGGGCGAGTGGCGGCGCGGGGACTTCCGGGTGCCGGAAGTGCGGGTCGTCGGGCTGCGGGTGGCGGGGCCGCGTCAGGTGTAAGCGCGGTGTCCTGCCCGTCCGCCGTGGTCCCGGGCGCCGCGTGGCTGGGAGCCGACGGGCGGCGGTGCACGGCGCCAGGTGAGTGCCGGCCGCCCCGGGGCAGGGGACGTTCGGGAGGCCGGGGCCCGGCGGCGTCGAGCGAGGCCCGCGGCGGCCCCGCAGGACCAGACGGCACGCTGAGGAGAGCCCGGACCGACGCTCCTCTGGAGGCGCGGGCGTGGGTCATCGCCGGCCAGCACCCCGCGGTCTCCCGTACCGCTCACGAGTCGTGTGACGGGGCGTCGGGGGACGTTTGAAGGAAGAGGCGTCTCGGTTTTTGACGCGTCTTCGTGCCCAGACGCTGTGGGCTGGCGCTGGTCGCCCCCGGGCTTGGAGGCGTATCCCCACATACTGCCAGCCCCTGGTGTGGCCCCAAACCAAACCAAGAACCGTTTGAAGCGGGCACTCGGCATGCGTGTGGTTCTGTGGCGGGCCTGTCGGGTGCCCGCAGAGCATCCCCCGTGGTGGCCCCTTTCCGACACCCGTGGCAGACGCCTGCAGCCTATCCGATAAATCCCGAAACTCTGTCCTGTGGCCAGAATCAAAAGACTGTTCATTTCTGGGCCCCGGGGAAAGCGCGGAGGGGTTGAATGAAGAGACAGGGACCTATTTTTTGGGTAAGTTGCAGAAAAATGAAGAGATGAGTGTGACTTGAAAAAGTGGGAAAAATTTTTGTCAGGAGTACTAACACCTGAAGAAAGGATGAAGAACTTTAAGAGAGATGAATAGAGGGACCTCTTGGTCTAATTTTGGAATAATGTGAGTAGTCGAGATAAGTGTAAGAGGCAGAACGTGAATTCAGATGATGTGTATATATTTTTGGTGCTGGGCATCTGTCCCAAGACTTGAAATGTACAGGGATTTTCTGCTGAGCTCACCCTGGCCTGTAGCTAACATTTTCAGTGTGGAACAACTGGACAGTATATCCAACGGGAGTATACTTTTGAGAAGATGCTGTGGAGTTGAATTGGAATTTATAATTGTACAAAATGGATTTCTTGGGGTCGACATCGGTCCGTGGGAAAAGATGAGTACTTTCTGGTCTCTTTTATCTCTTTTTTTGTGGGGTCCCAGGGTCATCATATTGGGTGGTACTTGCAGATTACTCTGGCCTGCTCAGGCTTCACTGCTGACTTCTGCGGACTATATGGGATGCTAGTGATTGAACCTGGGTCCGTGGCATGCTAGTCAAATGCCCTACCCGCTGTAGTATTGCTGCGGCCTAATCTTGTGAAGAGACAGATACAGCCAAGGTCACCAGCACTGTGGCTGTGAGAGGAGGATGTAAGCATCTCTGGAATGACTTTTGTGGTTATGAAGGTGAGTGTCCGGAAAGTGGGGTGTAAAGAGATAGTTATCAGGCTCACAGCCTACAACTCGGAAGGGAAAGGAGGATAGCTTTTGCATTTTGTTTAAAGAATTTGAAGATTTTTGCTTATACTTACCAGTTGGTTTCTACTATTGAAGTTCTTCAGACAGGGAAGCAATGCCCTGGATGTTTCATTTCCTTGATTTATATGTCTAAGGATACTTTCTGAGGTCATGTCAAGACTTTTTTTTTTTTTTTAGTGGAAAATTTTTTTTGTGTGTGTGTGGTTGGGGGGGGGCGTGGTGCCACACCTGCAGTGCTCAGCACTTCCTGGTGGGCTCGGAACCTTATTTGGTGCTGGGGATCGAACCCAGGTCAGCCATGTGTAAGGCAGGTTCCTTACCCGCTATGCTATCCCTCTGACCTGGAAAAAAGATAGTTTTTTTTTTTTCCTTTTTGGATCACACCTGGCGATGCACAGGGGCCACTCCTGGCTCTGCACTCAGGAGTTACTCCTGGCGGTGCTCAGGGGACCATATGGGATGCTGGGAATCGAACCTGGGTCGGCCACGTGCAAGGCAAACACCCTACCTGCTGTGCTATCTCTCCAGCCCCAAGATAGTTTTTATTGAAAGAAATTTAATTAGATATGAAGGGAAGGAGAGAGGAAAACATGTTCAAATGAGAACCAGGGCTTCTTCAGGTTGGAAAAATCCTCAAGACAAGTTTTAACAGGGTTTTGGAGATTTGTATTCTTTTGTTTCTGGCTTTTTTAAAGTTATACTTTGTGGTGCTTAGAAGCTGGTTCTGGCAATGCTCAGGGCCTGCGCTGTAGTAAGAATGGAGTTATGATATCTGGCAGTAAAAGTATCTCTTTAACCCTTTGAGTCCCCTTCTGGCCCTAACTCTATCCTTTTTACAAAACTACATTAGAATATGCAAGGCAACTCAGTATGAGCAATTGCTCTATTAGTGATCATCACTAGTTACTGATTCTTCTCCAGATCTGCTGCTTATCTCAGTAGTTTGCTTGCCTCAGAAATGAGTACTGCCCTTGATGCTGTTGGTTCAGGCCAGGGCCGCCACCCCAGTCCATTGTTTCCTTCTGGTGCTCACTGCCATCATCATCCATTGCTGAGACTTCAAGAGTACCTTCCCTCTGGCTCCCCTTTCTTAGTCATCGGGTCTACTCTGGCTCCCCTTTCTTAGTCATCGGGTCTACTCAGTAGACATCGAGTGCATCCTACAGCCCAGGAATTTGGAGGTATGGGGACTGGAAAACCTGGCTGTGCTGGGTTCTACTCAGACTTGTTGCAGGGATTCAATTCTTGGCATATTCTGGGGACCATGTGCTGAGATCTCTGGGCCTCCTGTGACCCAAAGCTTGTGCTTAACCTGAGGAAAGTGAGTGAATTATTTATTTTTTTGGGTTTTGGGCCACACCTGGTGATGTTCAGGGATTACATCTGGCTCTGCACTCAGGAATTACTTCTGGTGGTACTCAGGGAACCATGTGGGATGCCAGGGATCCAACCTGGGTCAGCCATGCAAGGTAAGCACCCTACCCACTGTACTATTGCTCCAGCCCCTGAAGTTAGTGATTTTGTTTTGGTTTTTTTGGGGGGCCACATCCTGTTGTGCTTAGGGCTTAACTCCTGACTCCATGCTCAAGGATCACTCCTGGTGGCTCTGGGAATCAAACTAGGGTTGACTGCATGCAAGACAGTTCCGTAATCCCTGCACTGTTTCTCTGGCCTGTACTGAGTGATTTAAAACAAGTTATTATTTGTTTCTTATATGTTTGGTTTTTGTTTTGTTTTGCTTTTGCTTTTTTTGGGGTCACACCTGGCGATGCACAGGGGTTATTCCTGTCTCTGCACTCAGGAATTACTCCTGGCGGTGCTCAGGGGACCATATGGGATGCTGGGTATTGAACCCACGTTGGCTGCGTGCAAGGCAAACGCCCTACCCACTGCGCTATTGCTCTAGCCCCATATATGTTTGATTTTTGAGCTAAACTCAGTGTTGCTCAGACCTTACTCCTAGCTCTGCACTCAAGGATTACTCCTGGTGGGTTCAGGGGACCATGCCAAGGATGAAGCCTTGGTTGGCCTTGTGCAAGGCAAATAGCCTACTCTCTGTATTATCCTCTCTAGCCTCTAAGAAAGGAGTTTTATCCTGAGATATATCCCTAGCCCGGAAACTTAATTTATTTTTTTCTTAGTTGAAGCCACATTGTATAGGTTTAATTGTTTATTTTTGTTTTCTTGGCTTCGCCTTGTGGTGCTCAGGAGCTGTTCCTGACTCATAGTGGTTCTCAGGGTATCATCTTTGCTGCTGGGGATTGAGCTAGAGCCTGCTGCATGCAAGGCAAATGTTGGGATCTCCTGTACTATCTCTGGATTCCAATCTTGTATAGGTTCTAAGTGGAAATTTCAGAACTGAGAAGATAGAAATGAATTAAGTTCAGTCTTGGCTTCTTTTTAATCAGTGGGATGGAGAGGACAGGAAAAAGTTGGTGAGCTTGAAGATAGAACTATAAGACTCATGCAGTCTGAACAATAGAAAATAGACTGGAAAAGAACTGAGGGACTGGAGAGATGGTACAGTGGGAAAAGTAGCTTGTCTTGAATGTGCCTGACCCAGATTTGATCCCTGGCACCACATGATGGTCCCCTAAGTACCTGCAGAAATGATCCCTAAGCTCAGAGCCAGGCATAAGCCCTGAGCACAGCCCCCAAACTCAGAGAATGTCAGGGGTCTATGGAATTTTTTAATAAGATCATTTTGGGGTTGGAAAGATAGTCCAGGGCTGTCACTTGCTTACCTTGTATGTGGCTTCATTTTAGACACCTCCTGTATTGCAGATTGCAGCACTGGAGATGCCAATCACCATGAGTGGGGCTGGGTAATTTCAATACTGCAGGCCTAGTTCAACTCTAGTTGAACTGCCAGCCCACTGGGCTCAGAAATGCAAAGTTGCCGTGGGTTCATGAGAACTGCTTAGGAGCCCTTGCCCTCCCCCCTCCAAAGAAAAAAATCCCAACAGAAATGAAAATCTGGCTATTCTAGTCATCAGGATCCCAGAAAGGGAAAGGTAATAGGACTGATCATTTGAGAAATATTGTTGAGTATAAACCCATAGGTCTTAGTAAGTTTCATGAAACCCAGACAGGATAAATTCAGATAAATCCTTGGTAAGACATGTAGTCAGATTTCTCAAACAAAGGCAAAAATGTGTCAGAAATGTCATTTAACTTACAGTGAATAGATTGACAGTGGGATTTCTCATCAGAAACCATGGAGGCCAGAAGAAAGCAGCACAGTACTTTCAAGTGCTGAAAGAAAAGAAGTATCTACTTAGAATTCTCTGACAAATGAAAACATCCTTCATGTGATTGTTATCAGCTGGGAATTTCTTGAAATAGAAAGGAAATGACAAAAGGAAGGTGGGAACACTAGGAAGGAAGAACAAACAATAGAGCAAAAATATTGGCAATTTAATAAACATTCTTATTCTCTAATGTTTATTAGCACCACGCTCTAACCAACTGAGCTAACCGGCCCCACTTACTTGTTCTCTAATGTTTAGAGGTTCAAGTTTAACTGTTTAATGTGATATTTGGAAAGGAAATATTTAATATGATTGATTATGTTGAACAGATTCAGGATGGCAAAGACCAAAAGGGATAAAAGGAATGCTTTTATACTTGAAAATGAACTGGTATGAGGCTGGAGTGATAGCATAGTGGATAAGGAGCTTGCCTTGCACAAAGATGTTTGAGGTTCAGTCCCTGGCATCCCATATGGTACCCTATGAACTCCAGTTGTGATTACTGAGTGCAGAATCAGGAGTAATCCCTGAACATTGCTGGGTGTGGCCCAGAAAGCAAACAACAGAAAATCAACTGGTAAAGTGTTAATTGTATAGCTAAATTGTGAAATGCCTATAGCAAGGCAGTTATTAAAATAGAGAAGTTTGACCATATGACAGATGAGCTTTCTCTATGGTAACTGAGGGGGAAGTCATAAGTGTTTCTGGGCCATACCCAATGGTGCTCAGTACTCACTCCTGGCTCTTTGCTCAAGGGATCACTCTTGGAGGGTTCAGGGGACCATAGGGAATGCTGGAGATTTGACCCAGGTCTCTTATGTGTGAGACAAGTGCCTTACCCTTGATACTCTCTCCAGACTGTTGGGCTTTTTTTCCCCCTTGTTTATTGATCCCTCCTTCTCCCAGTGTATCACTGTTCAGTTACGTCTCTTAAAGGGCCACTCCCGGAAGGATGGGGGACCATCCTTCTGCAAGGATCCAGTGCCGTGAATGGAATCTGGGCCTTCCACCTGGAAAGCATGAGCTCTAGCCCTCCCAGCCTGTAGATTTAAAGTGATAAGTTCATATATCTTGTTTCCTCAACCACTACCTGATCCTTGCCACCCCAACCCATTTGAAGGTTCTAACACCTCACCTTTTTGTGGCCCTCTCCCAGAGCCAGACATCCATCTCTCAATTTGATATCATCTGTTCTTGTTCAGCCTTATTTGTATCCTACACTATATTAAAATGCTATTTTTTATTTTTGTTTGTTTGGGTTTGGACCACACTGGGGGAAATCTCAGGAGTCTGAGAATTTCTCAGTGCAGAGCCAGGAGTAACTGAGAAGTATTTCAAGGAATTACCTGACAGTGCTTGAGGGATGATACTGGATGATGGGAATCAAACTCGGGTTGGTCACATGTGAGACAAGCACCTTTCCTGCTCTGCTATCTCTCCAGCCCCATAATAATTTATTTTTAGTATCCAGGTTCAAATTGTTTATGCAATATTATCATTCTGATTGTGGAAATAAGTAATTTTACTTCTCATTGAATATCCCTTGACTGTGGTCCCCTTCCAACCTAGTTTCCTTTCTGAGGTTCCCACTTCCTAACCAGTTGATTTTCTAGTCTCATGCTGTGGCCCCCCCCCCATTTATATTGATGTAACTTTTGGGCTGGAGCAATAGCACAGTGGGTGGAGCACTTGCCTTGAATGCATCTGAACAGGGTTTGATCCCCAGCACAACATGATCTTAAGAGACCTGCCAGGAGTGATCCCTGAGTGCAGAGCCAGGAGCAAGCCCTGAGCACTGCTGGATGTGCTCTTCCCCATGCCCCCCCCAAATGTTTAAAACATCTATCAGCAGTTGAGGAAAGAAGATATCTTGTAAAAAAATAGATTACTTAAAATTGACATAATGTTGGTAGAATTATGTTGGAAGACTATTTCCAGCTGAAAATGAAGACATTTTCAGCTGAAAATAAGTTGATAATGTTGAAAATGGCTATATCGGGCCAGAGCGATAGCACAGCGGGTAGGGCATTTGCCTTGCATGCGGCCGACCTGGGTTCAATCCCCGGCATCCCATATGGTCCCCCAAGCACCGCCAGGAATAATTCCTGAGTGCAAAGCCAGGAGTAACCCCTGAGGATTGCTGGGTGTGACCCAAAAAGCAGAATCCTTAGGGATGACTCTTGGGGGAGGTCTGGGAACCATATGTGGTGCTGGGAATCCATCCCTGGTTGGCCCAGTGCATGGAAAATGCCTTACCTGCTGAACTTTAACTCAGGTCTCTATCTTGAACAACTTAATTTGTCACATCTTAGTTACATGTTATTAAATGTTAAACATTGTAAAGGAAGGTTGGAATTAAAAGTAGCAGTTTTGGGATAGCATAGATAGCAGTTAAGCATTGTAAAGGAAGTTTGGAATTAAAAGTAACAGTTTTGGGGTAGCAGACCCAACACAGCTGGTAGTTGCTTGCCTTGCACACAGAAGACTCGGGTTTGATTCTTGGCATCACATGTGGTACGCCCAAGTATGTCAGGAGTGATTCCTGGGTGCAGAATCAGGAATAACCTGAGTACTGCCAGGTGTGGCCCTAAAACAAAACAAAAGGGAAAGTTTTGCTTACAGTTTTTCCTGGTTTTGTTTAGCTTATTGCAGGAGTGACCAGGACATCACCTTCTAGAAGTAATGCCCACAGAAAGCGCAAGTTCTTCTACTGCTCGCCCAGCAAAACAGAAACGCAAATCTCATAGTCTTTCCATCCGAAGAACAAACAGCTCGGAGCAGGAGAGGGCAGGTCTGCCAAGAGAAATGTTAGAAGGACAAGTAAGTGTTAGTGGGTCTTGATGGTACCCAAACAGCTATATGTATGCGGGGCTTCAATGGGTAAAAGTGAAGCACCTCCTCTCCCCCGCCAAAGTAAATTGCTGACAAGTATGAGAGCCTGTACAGGGCCAAATGAATGTTTTCATCATTCTCAGTATGAGAAAGTGGGTGTGATGGTTTGCGTTAGTCCTTTATTCTTGGAACAGTGTGATTTTAGGTTTTCTGTCTCTGATAGTCTTAAGAAGAGATGTAGGAATGATTCAGTAACTGCTTGATTTATCATGTTTCCACTATAGTGAGTATATCATCTGATGTTAATAATATATATCTTATAATTTGATCTTTTTTATTAAATGACTTTGTTAATAAGTTTCACATTTCCTGGTTCTTAAGATGATGAAAATGTTTCCTTTTTTTCTTCCTCTATTTTTGGGCCGCACTTGAGCTCAGGGTTTATTCCTGGCTCTTTTCTGAGGGATTACTTCTGGCAGGGCTTAGGGGACCATATGGAGTGCTGGGGATCTAACATGGCTTGGCTGTGTGCAAGGCAAATGCCCTAACTGCTGTACTATTGCTCAGGCCCCTGTTCCCATTTTATTTTTTAATTAATTAATTAATTAATTTTGTGAGGGGGGCCATGTCTGGTGGTGCTCTGCACTCAGGAATTACTCCTAATGGTGTTCGGGAGACCATGTAGGGATGCTTGGGATTGAACTTTGCTCTGCCATGTGCAAGGCAAATTGTCCTATACACTGTGCTTTCTGCACACCCCTCCCACCCCTTTATATTTATTTTTTGTTCTGTCTTTGTGCCATACCCAGTGATGCTCAGGGTTTACCCCTGGCTCTGTGATCAGGGATTACTCTTGGTAGACTTGGGGGACCATGTAAGTTGCCTGTGTGCAAGGCAAGTACCCTAACTACTCTGCTACTGCTCCAGCCCCTTATCGCTTTTTCAAGGAACACCATTTATGGGATTAGGGCCTAATCACCTGTTGGGAACTTAAATCATATTTTCAGAGATTTTTTTTTTTTTTGAATAGGCATGTTGTATAGTTCTGGGGTTAGAACTTAAGCTTGTGAGTTTGGGAGGGCAGTGGGGGCTTAAAATTCAGTATACTTAGGAAATCAAATTTTTGAACTTGAGCCATGCAGTGGAGCTTTTGTGATGAATGGAACATTCTAGACCTATCATATCTGATGTGGCAACCATAAACCATTTGAGAATAGTATGAGGAACTAAAAAATTTCACTTGAACCAGAGGGATAGTACAGTAGATAGAGCGCTTGTTTTGAACTCAGCTGACCCAGATACCATAAACATCCCAGTAGTCTACCCTTCCCCCAGCACTGCCAGAATTAAACTCTAATCCCACACTGTGGAGTGTACCCCCAAAACAAAACAAAATGTTTAATTTAGCTCTTATGCTTAAGCAGCCAGATAATGGCTCTCAGATTTTGTATTGGATAATGCAGTCAAATAAGTTCAGGTTATATTTACTTCTATTTCTATTTTGTTTTACTTTTTTGGCTTTTTGTCACACTCAGCAATGCTCGGGTTACTTCTGGCTCTGCACTCAGGAATTACTTCTGGTGGTGCTCAGGGAACCATATGGCATGCCAGGGATTGAACTGGGGTTGGCCACATGCAAGGGAAATGTCCTACCTGCTGTACTAGCACTCCATTCCCAGATTTACTTACGTTTCTGGTTGTGACAATTCCATAGCTTTCTTTGTTCTCCTAGAGTGAACTCTCAAATGAGGTCTGTCTTCCTGTCTTGGCCTCTTCACTCCATTGTGATGTAGACCAAGTGGGTATCACATCTCTGGAACCCTTTATGAAGGTACTCAGAATCAAACTGAATAGCCTTAGTGGTTGCTCTGCTCCTAGTTCCTGCCTCTGACTGTCCAGTGTTTCCTGGACTTGTTCTTGAGTTTGGTGTTTGCACTTGGCATGGTAGGTGTCAGCATCGGGGCCAGAGGCTGGTAGTACAGCAGGTTAATAGTGCAGCAGGTAGGATGCTTGCCTGCATGCGGTCGATCCCTGGCATCCCATATGGTCCCCTGAACCTTGCTAGGGGTAATTAATCCCTGAGTGAAGAGCCAGGAGTTAACCCCTAAGCATTGCCAGGTATAGCCCCCAAACAACCACAACAACCAGAACAACCAAAAACAAGAAAAGCAGGGACAAGAGAAGACAGAGGTCATAGGTTAGACCGTTACATAGTCTACAGCAGTTTTTAATAGTTCTTCTTTCAGTACAGAAGAACCCCTGAATGTGACTGATTGTGAGTGTGCTGTTTGGGCAATTGTGTCTTGGTTTGATTCCTGTATCAGTGCATTCAGAAGTGTTTTCTCAAGTGGTAGCAGAAGTTCAGTACCTCAGTTCAGGCTGTGAAATTCAGGGCATCTGAGGAAATTGAAGGGGAGCTACATAAGACGTTTCCAGTGCAGTCCCTGCTGTTATCTGGGAGATCTCATCTCGCTGTGCTTTGTTTCTTTTGGGGGTCTGAGGTACTCAGGACTTTGTGCTGGCTCTGCTCTTAGGGGGTCCCTATTGGCAGGACTAGGGTACTATATGTGGTGCCCGGGACTGGACCAGATTGACTGTGTGCAGGGGCAAGGGGCTATGCTATCTCTCTGGCCCCTGCACTTTCCTTTATGGAACGTTACATGAAATGAAATCTGTCATTGCAGTTTGGTCTCATATGTGATGAGACCACATATAATTCTAGTAAAGGTAATATTTTAGCTGCTGAGTACTGACAGAGCAGGAATAGAGAGATGAGGCCTCTGCTGATTGTGAGGCCCCCAGCCTGCAGCCAGCAATAGTGAGGAAGAAGGAGGATTTTGGCCGAGAGAGCAGCCTCGCTACCTCTTACTTTGGTTGGTTTTCATTTTCCTTTTGTAGTGATAGCTAAGGAGAATGTCTCAACATTGTTTATTCTAGCAGATTCAGTTTTTATATTTATTTTTTGGGACACAGCAGTACTCCTGGATCTGTGCTCAGGAATCACTCCTGACAAGATTTGGGGGATTGAATCAGGATTGGCTGCATGTAGGACAACTCCTTAACCCCTCTCTCTACTATCTCTCTGGCCCTCAAATTGTTTCTAAACAACCTCACCTAGTATTTTCAGTAGTTTGTAAACTTTTCTAGAGCATTCTGTGATTGATTTTGAACATATTGCTAGGGTGATTATACCTTTAGGTATCGTTTTTTTCCCCAAAATTTATCATTCAGGAGGCTAGAGTGACAATATAGCAGATAGGTTGTTTTCCTTGCTGCTTACCCATATTTGATTCCCATTATCACTTACATGTTCCTTGAAACCTGCTAAGAGTGATCCCTGAGCACAAAGCCAGGTGTGCTCTAAAACAAACACAAAAAGAGTCACATCAAGGCTTTTTCCTAAGCCTGTATTCCCTCTTGATCAGGGATCTCTCTTTATATCTCCTATTTCTCAAGTAAAACTGTCAACTGTCAACAAAAACTGTCTTGTGGGGGCTGGAGAGATTGTATAGTAGGTAGGGGTAGCCAACCTGGGTTTGCTCCCTGGCATCCCATATAGTCCCTTGAGCACCATCAGGAGTACTTCCTGAGAATAACCCTGAGCATTGCCAGGTTATAAAATAAAAAACAAAAAATTGCCCCCCCCGAAAACCCAGAAAACAAAACAACAAAACGATTTTGTTTCACTTAAAAAAAAAAGAGAGAGAAAAACAAAAATCACATCCATAGCCTTTAAGGACTGAAATACTTCAGAAATATCTTAAGAGTCCAGAGCGATAGTACAGTGGGTAGGGCATTTGCCTTGCTTGCGGCTGACCCGGGTTTGATCCCTGGCATTCCGTATGGTCCGCCCAGTACTGCCAGGAGTAATTCCTGAGTGCAGAGACAGGAGTAACCCGTGAGCATTGCTGGGTGTAACCCAAAAAGAAAGAAAAAAAAGAAATATCTTAAGAATTTTGTTGATGGGCTGGAGAGAGGGTACAGCCAGTAGGGCATTTGCCTTGCATGCGGCTGATCTGGGTTCAGTCTCTGGCATCCCATATGCCCCGCAGAACACCACCAGGACTGCTTCCTGAGTGCAAAGCCAGGAGTAAGCCCTGAGCATTTTAACCTCTCACCCCCCCCCCCCCCCCCAAAGAATTTTGTTGATGATACCAATTAGCTAGTTGGGGATGAATCAGAAAAATGGTGTACAGACCACGTCCTCAGGAAATGAGGGTCCAAAGTAGACAGTTTCCACTGAATCCAGGAAGGTGAGACTTGTTGAGGCACCTGGTACTGGGGGCAGTGCCTGCATCAACCACAGCTTTGCTGTGCTTTTGTATGCTGCGGGCTGGCGGGGAATGCAGATGTGCACAGCTGGTGCACAGGTGCGCAGAGCTAGTGTTGTTACCGAGCTTCTGCACACTGTTCTCATAGGTGAGAATATCATTCCTTTCATTTCACAACTATCTTAGATATTCAAGAGCGTGGCAGAAAGTGCCAGTTTATTTTCCTGGAATCAGGGTGGATGTGAGAACTCTGTTAAGCTCATCTTTATTAACATAGTGTTAAAATTTATAAGAGCATTAGGATAAATAGTTCTTAAGTTCTTTGTGGGAATTGCCTCTCTTGAATACTCATTTGACAGGTTTGAGTAAGGTAGGCATATTTCTTCTCCTGGAAGGAAAAATGGTGCCTGTTTTTGAATCCCATATTGTCCTACATAACCACTTACAGAAAATGTTTTTTTTGGGGTATCATGCTCAGTCTAGCACAGGGGTTACTCCTTGCTCTGGGCTCAGGGATTATTCCTGGAGGTGCTTGGGGGACCATCTGGGATACTGCTGGCAATTGAATCCAGGTGGGTCATGTGCAGGCCAAGTGCCCTACCGATTGTACCATCAGTCCGACCCCTAGAATCTGTAATTTTTAGTTCATTTATCTCGCCTGCATGGCAAAGCCTGGCAAGCTAGCCGTGACATATTCGATATGCCAAACACAGTAACTAGTGTCACAATGGAGACGTTATTGGGTCTGCTCGAGCAAAATTGATGAACAACGGGAGGACAGTGACAGTTTATTTATAAACATTTTGAAACTTAAATTCATGGAACCCTTTATATATAAGAAATAAAATGTATTAAGATGAAAATTAAGACTCTAAATATGATAATTCACTTTGGAAAGTGCATTGACTCTTGGTAGCAGGTTTTTTATTCATTTATTTATTGGAAAATTCTTTTCTGCAGGATTCCAAACTGCCCTCCTCGGTTCGCAGCACACTTCTAGAACTGTTTGGTCAAATAGAAAGAGAGTTTGAAAACCTTTATATTGAAAACTTAGAATGTGAGTATGTCTTTACATACTTTATGGTTTCATTTCTCTAAAGTAGTGTTTGAAAGTTTAATATGTGGCTGGTGTTCCCCCATTCAGTCCCTCCTCCCTTCAGCTTTATTTAGTTGTCCATTTGTTTTGGCCATACTCCTGCAAATGCTGGGGAGACCACCTGAGGTGCCAGGAATCAAGCTGAGCTGTGATAGCTTGAGTGCACGGCAGAAGCTTCATGCTCTCAATGATCCTGTGTTCTTTTCTGTGTTCCATAATCACTCTCCTTCTAGCTGGTGTAACTGTTGCTAGACTGGAGTGCAGGTATTGAGCGCCCTGTGCTGTGGGAGTTTGTCTGGGAGCATATTTGAAGTGCTTGGGGTGTTAGGACAGTCATTTGATCCAGCCTTCCTTTTGAGGATATGGGAAGACTAGGCCATCCGTGCCGTTCTGTGTCATGTGCCTGTGGGGAAGACATCAAGCTGTATAAAAGAAAAGCTCTCTGGACTGGAAAGATTGTACAGTGGCTAGGGCCCATGTCTTTCAGCTGACATGGATTCTATCTCCCAAGTCCATCAGGAGTGAGCCCTAAGCACAGAGCCAGGAGTAAGCCCTGAGCACTGCTGGGTATGACTCCAAAAAGTACAAAACAACCAAATGAAAGCTCCTTATACTACCCCACTCATGACCTTCCCCCTCTCAGAGAACCTTATTTATTTATTTTTTGTTTTGTTTTTGGCCACACTCAGCTGTGCTAAGGGCTTACTCCTGGCTTTGCACTCAGGGATTACTTCTGGTGGACTCGGCGTGCCAGGGATCGAAATTGGATCAGACAAATGGAAGGCAAATGCTCTACCTGCTGTGCTATTGCTCCGGCCCCTCAAGGACCTCCTTGTCTGCTGTTTTTCCTTTAGTTGTTCTGTGCTTGTTTTTGACACAGTAGTCTCAATTTCTGCTCTTTCTGATGCACATTGGTGCTTCCTTGGGGCAGCTGTATAGCCTTCATCTACTGTTTGTCTCCTCTGCTTTCTTCCTGTCTGTTGTGTTTATAGGGCATGTGCTTATTCAGTTTCTGATCTTGGGAAGGTAAGCACAATGAGGACTTTTGTATTTTATAAGTTGATTCCAAAAATAGCATAAAATAAAATACTATGTGCTTGTTTTTGTGGGCGTGGGGTAATTGGGGCACACCTGGCAGTGCTTACTTGTATGCTCTAATTTTTAGAAGCAGTGAGTTTATCCAAACAAAAAATGATTAAAAAATGTTTTATTCTTAGTGCGTAGAGAAGTTGATACTCTTAATGAACGTTTAGCTGCTGAAGGACAAGCTATCGATGGAGCAGAACTCAGTAAGGGCCAACTCAAGACAAAAGGTAAGACTGGACTCTTATGACTAGATCACCCTATAGATATTGATGGAGAGATTTGGAAGTGAATGAAGGGTGCAAATTTATTTGCTTTTTTGCGGGCAGCAGTATTTGAAATTCATGCTTTGGCTCTGGGTATGGAGGGGAGAATGCAGAGACTAGAGGCCTGAGCTCCATGTCAGTTCTGCCTTATCTCCGTCTGGGCTTCCTGTCTCCCTGTGTGACATGGAAGGTGCGTCTGTAGCCACAGCTCTATTGTCCTGGGACTGTGCACTGATGACTGTTTCCTTCTCTCTGCAGCCAGTCACAGCACTAGCCAACTTTCTCAGAAGCTAAAGACCACGTATAAGGCCTCCACCAGCAAGGTATGCCAGGCCCTGACTCTTGGGCCAGTCATGTGGTATTTAAGGTGTGCAGACGTTTACTTTAAATTGCATATTTTCCAGTTAGAAATCAAGTGCATTAGGAAAAGATAAATTTCAGTAATTTAGGAAAATAGCATTTTTCAAAGGAATATCATGAATGTTACATAAGACCATAGTATGTAGAGACATCTAGACATTATTCTGGCCTAATACTTAATGAGATTAATTTATTCTGCAGAAGTAAATCAGTGTTTTTGGGGGTTGAGGGGTTACATTTTGTATTTTTTGTTGTACATTTTATATTTTCTGTTGTGATAGGTTTTGAATTTGGAGATTGTAATAAATGGTAGGAAAGCATGAAATTAAGTTCTGAGCTGTAGCTAACATTTTAGTTTATCAACTTGTATGATTTTACAAGTATAATTAAAAATGTCTAAGGCAAATAGGGAGATTGATGGTATTTTGCTTTTTTCTTAGTACCTTATTTTGACATTTCTGAGTGGCAAAGATTTAATTGTATGGAAACTAGCTTATTGCTGAGTGAGCAGTACTTTATGAAGTAATATTTGATGGTAATTTTGTAAGGATCTTTACTTTGGAGTACTTTGAATATGCAAAAGGTAAATTAATTGCTGAACCTTAATTATATTTTCATTCCTTTTAATAAACCTGAGGGGAAAGGTTAAAAGTTAAAGGGAGTCTACTATGATGATATAGTTATTATTAGCTTTCTGTTTTTCAGCTTAGTTCCCATGAACTTAAAGTTACTTAGCATTCATCCTGAGTGAGATAGACTGGACTGAATAGAGCACATTATGATTTAAAAAAAAAACTTTTATTAGTGAAACACCATGAGGTACAGTTGTAGACTTACAAACTTTTGTGCTTGGGTTTCAGTTATACAATGATCGAGTACCCGTTCCTCCACCAGTGCTCATTCTTCACCACCAATGATCCCAGTATCCCTCCTCCCACCCCATCCCACCCTGGCTCTGTTGGCAGGGCATGAGCGCATTAAGATTTACAGTTATTTCTTTTTATTTGAAAGTCTTTGCTAATTTTTTGTTATTAAAAAGAATTTTGAGGGGCCAGAGTGATAGTGATACAACAGGTAAGGCGCTTACCTTGTACATGACTGACCTGGGTGTGATCCCTGGTGTTCCGTATTGTCCCCTTAGCATCCAGGAGTGATCCCTGAATGGCAAGCCAGCAGTAAGCCCTGAACATTGCTGGTATGCCCAAAAACAAAACAAACAAACAAACAAACACAAAAAGATAATATTGCTGACATTTTCTTGTGTTTCCTTGACAGCTCTGGAATGTAAGTTGCTAATTTAAATTTTCGTAGTAGATTCTCTAACTTATATTTGTTCGTTTTAAAGTTTTTCAGTAAGTTTACATTAAACATTCACTTCAAAATGTAGTGAGATTGTTATATCCTTGTTAATATTTTCTTGCTGGAATCATGTTGTTTGTATATACAAGGATAATCTTAGAATCTAGAAGCTCTCAGTCTAGAGGAAGAAAGATTTATGACATAAAACTTTCCCGGGAGAAAAATGCTTTGTACAGTACTTTACTTTAAAAAGATGTATTAGAGGGGCTGGAGCAATAGCACAGTGGGTAGGGCATTTGCCTTGCTTGCAGCCAACCCAGGTTCAATTCCCAGCATCCCATATGGTCCCCTGAGCACCACCAGGAGTAATTCTTGAGTGTAGAGCCAGGAGTAACCCCTGTGCATCACCGGGTATGACCCAAAAAGCCAAATAAATAAATAAATAAAAACCTGAATGCAACAAACAGGTAGTGCTAGATTCTAGATTCTTGATTCTGTCCTGTTGACTTAGAGTTTGGAATGCAGGGGTTATATTTGGTGAGATTGGGGTAAAACCAAATGGTTTGAGAAAAATGTAAAGAGACCATTTCCTCTCCTTTCTGATAACTGATGACATATTTTGAATGTCTTACGGGAGAGAAAAGGGGCAGTCTAAGCTGATAGCCCCTTTAAAGAAAATGGTAAAAATGTTCCTAAATTAAATAAATTTTGGGGGTGTTGTTGCTCAGGGACTCCTCCTGGCTTAGTCCTCAAGGGTTGCTCCCTGAGGTGCTGAGGGGTTACCATGTGGTGCCAAGAATGGACCCTTGGTCCTTGCATGGAAGTCACACTCTAACTCTTGAAGCATCTCCCTGACCCACAGATGTTTTCTATAAAGATACGGGGTGCCTGTGAATTTTCAAAAATAGTTTAGCTTATATCAGTTAAAATGTTAAGTTAGGATGATAGGTGTAAACAGAAATTTCTTGTTTTACCCTATCGCTTCTCTCTTGAATATTCCTTCTGAAAAATTATTTTGTTGGTCATCTTGACTGAGTCAAGATTTTTAGGTTTTTTTTTTTTTTTTTTTTTTGCTTTTTGGGTCACACCCAGTGATGCTCAGTGGTTACTCCTGGCTCTGCACTCAGGAGTTACTCCTGGCGGTGCTTGGGGGACCATATGGGATGCTGGGGATTGAACCTGGGTCATCCGTGTGCAAGGCAAACGCCCTACCTGCTGTGCTATCACTCCAGCCCCAAGATTTTTAAGAATTTTTAAGAATAGTTGAAGTTCATAGATGGGCATTTGGAAGCAATGCGTAATGATATGAAGTCTCAGCATCCTTTTTTTGTTTGTTTTTGAGCCATACCCGGTGGTACACAAGGGTTATTCTTGGTTCTGCACTCAACAATCACTCCTGGTAGTGCTCAGGGTACCGTAAGGGATGCTGGGGATGGAACCCAGTTTTGACTGTGTACAAGGCAAGAGCCCTGCCCGCTCTACCATCTCTCTAGCCCCCCAGCATCTTTATTAATTTAGCTGCCTCTGTATCCTACCAGATGTGGTTGGAGCGAGTCTCTGGGTCGTCACCTTCTTTTCTTTTTGTTCTGGGGGTTTGTTGGTGGGGGATGGGGGGCAGGGAGGAGTTCTTGAGGAACTTGATCCCAGATTCATATCTCATGGTCTTATTCTCTGTGCTACATGTGGTAGAATCTTGGAAAGGAAATGTACTGCCAGTGATGGGCAAAGTTTTACACGTTTCTGAATTTCATTATTTTTTTAGTGGAACATTGTTTCATATGGCAGCACACCATAGACTACCACAAATATTTGCCTGTGTGGTGGAGGCCCCGCTGGCTAGTTGGACTGGGAATCCAGCTTTCAGGGAGACCAGACAGTTGGTCTGATGGGCTCGTGGGGCAAGTCTTTTGTTGAGACCTTCTACATTTAAACCAAGTCTACTTGCCTGTTGACTCTCTCTATCAGACTTTCATTGTATCAGGGGGGAGTGATAAGAGCACTCGCACCCAAACAGATGTAACAGTGACTTGTATTTAATGTAGTTATTTGAAGATGGAATTTAGGTGTTTTTTCAGGGCTTTGCCAAGTTGGTGTTTTAAAAGTGCTGTATAAAAAAATACTTTAAAGAGGAAAAAAAATTTCTTTTTCACTTGATTTTACAGTTGCAGTATTCTGACTAAACACTGTTCTGATTCATTTAAATGTTGAAGAGTTATTCTTATACCCGAGAAAAATTTAAAATTCATATTGAAGATTGTGTATCAGTGTCTTTCTCGTGCATTTTGTATTTTCCTTGTGAGAGTTGGTACCAGTTGTCTGCTCTTATGTCATCCAAGTCGCTGCCTCATCGCCATGTGCACCTCTGCGTGGGCCTTGGTCTGTCTGTCCCTGTTAGACTGTGCGCTTCTGGGCCAGGGCCTGCTGTCAACTATGTCTGCTCCTCACACCACATGCTCAATAAACCACGTTCACCAACCTGCTTTTCTTGTAGAAGTGTCGTCTTTGCTGCTTCCCTCCACAGAGGCTGTGGCTGGTGTAGGATCGCCCCAGGTGAAAACATGGAAGTTTTCCAAATAATCAAGTCCTTAGTGTGGAGGTTTGGGCTCATCACCTCCCTGTCTGGCAGCTCTTTGTTCTTTTTTTTACTTTTTGATTATCTTTTAAAATTATTGTTTTTTTTTTTTCTTTTTCAGTCACACCTGGCATGCATAGGGGTTACTCCTGGCTTTGCACTCAGGAATTACCCCTGGCTGTACTTGGGGGACCATATGGGATGCTGGGCATTGAACCAGGGTCTACCGCGTGCAAACGCCCTACCTGCTGTACCATTGCTCCAGCCCCTGTTCTTTTTTTACAAAGAGAAGAACATTGAGAAGAACTTGGAAATGTTCTCTGGTTTGGAGGGTGGCCTTGTGGCTTGTTGCTGGCCCTCCTCAGATGCTTGGCCACTGTGTGTGCATGTATTAAGGGTCCTCCAAGGGGCCACCTAGACCTTTGCTTCTGCTTTGTGGGATCTGGACAAATACTGCGGGTGAAGAGTTTTAAGTTGTTGGTTCATACTTCTCAAGGCATTTTTAGCTTTCACCTTTCTTACACACATCTATTTAAATTGTCTACTACCCTTCCTGTCATGATTGTAGATCGTCTCCAGCTTTAAAACTACCACGTCGAGAGCTGTGTGCCAGCTTGTGAAGGAGTACATTGGCCACAGAGATGGTATCTGGGATGTCGGTGTGGCCAGGACGCAGCCTGTGGTGCTGGGCACCGCATCTGCAGGTATGTGTGCTCGCTGCCCTTCTGGCATGGGAACAGCATTTCTGAAGGTAAGTGTTCTGTGGGTGTGGGGGCAAGGCTTCAGAAGCAAGGCATGTAGTTGGCGTGCTCCCAGGGTGAGTGGGAGAGCCTCTCTCTGCCTCCTGCCTCTAAAGATGAGGTGCTCAGAGAGCTAAAAGGCATCACCTCCCAGCCTTCCAAAGGGGGCTTATGGTCAGAAAGGCCCAACTGGGGAGAAGTTAAGTAGTCACTGGACTCTACTATTTAAAGAACTAGAAAATGTTCAGCTAGAAGGATTGAAAAAAAAAAAAGCACTTCATTGTGTTTGAAAAGACTAGGTGGTTTTGGGAAATTAACAGTGAAAAAGGGAATAAAATAAGGTCCTTTTGGTTTTTTCCTTTTTTCCCCTTTTTGGGTCACACCCAACAATGCTCAGGGGTTACTCCTGGCTCTGCACTCAGGAATTACTCCTGGTGGTGCTCGGGGGAACATATGGGATGCTGGGAATCTGAGTCAGCTGCATGCAAGGCAAATGCCCTACCCACTGTGCTATCGCTCTAGCCCCCAATAAGGTCCTTTTTGTGCATTTCTGAAATGTCATTGGCATAGTAGCATGCAGTTTTCAGGTTTTCATGTTTATCTTTCTATTTTGATGCCCATAAGAAGAAAGATTCAACGAATGATTATCCTAATTAACATAGAACTCGATCTGAATTCTAGTTGCATTTGAATATTGCATGATGTTTTGAGAAGGTTCACTGTTTTTAGTTCTGAACCTGTGAGGTGAGTGCTGTGTTTATAAGTTTGAATTGTGATGTGGTCATTGCAGTAGTGAACTAGGAGTCAGTCAGACCCCCGATGTTCCAGGCCCTCAGACAAGGCACCACTTTCTCCATCTGCTTAGAAACATTTTCTAAATCAACTGAATTACAGAGCAGTGTAATCAGAGTTGCAGGAGACACTAGTGGTGATGTCATCACTGCTCTTTTATTAAAAAGGCTGTCCAGGGGCTGGAGCGATAGCACAGTGGGTAGGGCGTGTGTCTTGCACGCAGCCAACATGGCCGATACAGGTTTGATTCCCAGCATCCCATATGGTCCCCCGAGCACCGCCAGGAGTAATTCCTGAGTGCATGAGCCAGGAGTAACCCCTGAGCATTGCCGGGTGTGACCCAAAAAGCAAAAAAAAAAAGGCTGTCCAGTGGGTGCTGGCTTACTTCTTCCTTGGCTTCATTTTGCAGATCACACGGCTCTGCTCTGGAGCATTGAAACTGGGCGGTCCCTTGTCAAGTACACTGGCCACGTGGGCTCAGGTGAGCAGAAAGGGAAAGGGCTGTTTTGTGCTTGGGTGTGGGTGAAGATGAGGAAGATGAAGTGTGTCAGAAGATGAGAAGCTGCTCTTAGTGGGCAGATGGCTGGTGTGACTGGGCATGTCTCCTGCTTGCTGGACAGCAGATCTGGCAGTGTGAGCTTTGTTAGGAGAGTAGCTCAGGTGTCCAGATGTGATGTGGGTGGGGTCAGCTTTTCTTTGTGTGTGCACACAAATTGAAAATTAGTGTCCTCCATCTCAGATGGCAGACACTTCGATGTCCTGTTATATTCAGGCCCTAATACTCAGGCCCTATGAAGAGCGTACTCTCCCACCCTTCTGTCGTATCATTGCCAGAACTGTTTGGAACAAAGACCACACACAATCTAGTTATTTTCTTTTTTCTTTGGCTACACTCGGTAGTGCTCAGGGCTTCCTCCTGGTTCTGCACTCACGATTCACTCCTGTTAAGGCTCAGGGGACCATATGGATGGAACCTGGGTTGGCGGTATGTGAGGCAATATCCACTGTATTATCTCTCCAGCTCCCACTGCTAGTTATTTTTTTGTTTTTGTTTTATGGGCCACACCTATGGTGCTCTGGGGTTATTCCTGACTCTGTGCTCGGGGATAATTTCTGGAGGTGCTTGGGGGACAATATGGGGTCCTGAGGACCAAACCCAGGGTGGGCCACTTGCAAGGCAGGTGCCCTGCCTGCTGTACTATTGCTCCAGCCCTTTACTTCTAGTTCTTAACTTTGTAAATGATAATGTATATCTATAATAAATATTGGTGACACTTTGTTCCTATAAACTTGTTTTTAATATTTTTATTTTGCAGTGAATTCTATAAAATTTCATCCATCAGAGCAGTTGGCTCTCACTGGTATGTTGATTCTTTTTTATTACTAAATGTTACTGGTAATTAAAGATTACCAAACAATTGTGATTTCTTTTCCATACTATCAGAGGATCATGCCTTTCATGCAGGTTGGACAGCCATAGTAGGCAATATAAATTATATGAGGAGTGGCTTCAGAAAAATCCATTGAATAGAATATTGTGACCAGTAGTGGGTGTGACGTTTAGATGGACATGACTTTCGTGTAAGATCAAAGTCTGTTCCTATTACTCTTCAGGTCTCTGAAGCGTGCCACTTTAGCTTGCTTTCCCTGTCCCTGTTTACATGGTCATCAGCAGATAGTAACGTAGCCTTTGGATCCTCTGTGCAGCAGAAGTGCTAGAGTGGGAGGCAACACCTTCCACTTACAGTGCTGCAGGCCAGCGAATCTGCCGTGGCGGTGCTAGCTTGGGTGGTCTTGACTTTTTGCAGGTGACTTCATTCTTTTTTACTTTTTTCTTTTTGGGTTATACCCAGAGATGCTTAGGGGTTACTCTTGGCTCTGCACTCAGGAATTACTCCTGGTGGTGCTGGGGGACCATATGGGATGCTGGGTTGGCCTTGTGCAAGGCAAATGCCCTACCCGCTGTCCTATCACTCTGGCCCCCCCGAGTCTTCATTCTTGTAATGAGCTTTTCCCTGTGGCACCATCTGCCTATCATACAGCCTGGAGGTGATTTGGAGGCACTGACAGCAGTCTCGATGGATGAGAGTTCGTGCTGACCAGGGGTCAACACTTTCTTCTATAAAGGACCAGAAAGTCAGGTCTAAGTTAGTCTGTCACAGCTGGTCAGCTCTGATACCTGTGTGGGTCTTATTGTACACTCAAGCTTATTTATACACTGGCGGTGGGGACTGGGGACTGCTTGGGTTTGCCCCCAGTTTTACTGGGATTGAGCACAAACTTGGGACCAATTCAGTATGTCTCTGTGTGAGGGAAATGGGGGACATTGGTTCCAGAGTTCTGTTTCAGACTGCAGTAGGGACTCTGTAGTGGTCACCACTGGGTCAGCAGTGAAGTAGGTGGTATGGGGTTTGCCCTTAAGAAGTCAGCTGTAGTGTGATGAGATTGGGCAGCATCCAGGTGCTGGCTGACCTTGGGAAAGAAGAGAGTTGTGTCTGTAGGGAGGTCAGGGAGGAGCAGACAGAAAGGGAAATGCAAGAATGGGCCAGGGAAGAGGACACGGTGGGCTTTGGCTGTGATGCTATGTGGAGATATTGGTAAGGAGGCAGGGGGTTCATCTGACATGAATAGACATGTGCCATCGGCAGCTTGAGGGCACTGCGGCTGGGATGAGGGTCCAGATGGCGCATCTGTTCTGCCAGAGGCACCTGCGCCTGTATCAGGGAAGCGGGGTTGCTGGTGTGAGCTCCACCCAGGTACCCTGTATAGACCCCGTGTCCCTTCAGTTAGGTGGATGACCAGTAAGACCTGTCAGTTTCTTGTAACCATTGGAACTTTCTACTCTAAATTGAAAGGGAAAATTAAAAAAAAATTTTTTTTTTTTGTGTGTGTGGGGGGGGCACAACTGGTAGTTTTCAGAGCTTACTCTTGATTCTGTGCTCAGGTATCACTCTAGTGGGGCTCAGGGGACCATATTGCATGCTGGGGATTAAACCTAGGTAGGCCGTCTGTAAGGCAAGTGCCTTACCTGCTGTATAGTCTCTCTAACCCCAACGGAGGAAATATTTTGTTTTTGTTTTGAGGTCTCACTTGACTGTGCACAGGGCTTACTCTTGACTCTGTGCTCAGGGATCACTCGTGGTGGGGCTTCGGGACCATATGTGGTGTTAGGAATTGAAACTGGGTCAGCTGTGTGCGAAGCAAGCACTTTACCCACTGTACTATCTCTAGAATATTTTTTTTTGAGTTTTTACTTTTAATGGAGTTTACTTTTTTTTTGGTATATTTATTTATTGAATCACTGTGGGAAAAGTTACAAAGCTTTTAAGATTAAGTCTTGGTCATACAATGTGGAGTTTACTTTTTGGTTTTTGGGCCATTCCCAATTGTGCTCAGGACTTATTCCTGGCTGTGCTCAGAGATCACTCCTGGTGGGGCTCAGGACCATATGTGGTGTTGGGAATTAAAGTTGGATTGTCTGTGTTCAAGGCAAGCACCCTACCCTGCTATTTTTCTCTCCATCCCCAGTTGACCTCATTTTAATTTGGCCAGTTTCCTATTCTCTCAGTGACATTGTGTAGTCTCAGGACTAGCCCTGTAAGTCAGCTCTGTTGCTCCCTAGAGGATAGCTCAGTCAGCCAAGTGTGACTCCTGAGCTAAAGCGTTGTTGAGCTCAACTGTCACAGAAGCACTTTGTTGGCATGTTATGCCCTCTATGTAATCTTCTCTCTCTCTCTTCAGCTTCTGGAGATCAGACCGCGCACATTTGGCGATATGCGGTCCAGCTGCCGACACCCCAGCCGGTTGCCGACACTAGTGTAAGCAGCACATTTACTTACCCTGAAAACGCCATGTGGGGTATGTTGGTAGGGTTCTGGACCTTGCAGTTTCTGGGTTTTGTTCATTTGGGTTTTTTCGGGCTACACATGCTGCAGTGTTCAGGGGTTACTCTTGCCTCTGTGTTTAGGGGACTGTTTGTAGTACTGCGGACCTAACCAGGGCCAACTGCATGTAAGTAAAGTGCTGTAACCCCTGTACAGTCTTTCCGGCCCTAGACTTTGAACATGTTAGGATCAATGTGTTAAAATTTATTAAGGACCGAAAGTTTTCTTTGACCTCAAGTTCCTCTCTTCAGGCCCTAGCCTGGTGTGTGATGGTTTGGAGATGGGGCTTCCCAGAGGCCTGATTTGGTAGTATTTGTGTCCTTCAAAGGACTGCATGTGTATGCTTTCCTGCATGCATACGCGCACACCTCGGAGAGGCTGTGAGAAGAAGCACTGAGGTGACTGTTGTGCAGACAGCCCTTAGGGATCCTGTGCTGGCAACCAGGCTCCAGCCAGGAGCTCCCCTCTGGGGGCCCTGTCAGCAGGATCCGCCTGAGAAAACAGGCTTTGTTAACATCTGTGCTTTACTTCCACTGTCCCTTTCACAGTAGGAAACAGTGTTTGTGACCTTTTACTAGGTTAATATTTTTTGTGTATTTGGTTTGAATTTGCCTATTTTATGTGAAAGGTAAGCCAAGTTAGTCACTGGTGTGTGTGCTGTTTTTATGGGGCTTAGGATTTAACTCAGTAAAGCCTGCACACGGAAGAGAAAGAGTAGATAGGTTTGGGCCTTAACTCTTTTATCACTATTGGCTGGTGCTTTTGAATAGAGTTGGGACCATTTCTGCCCAAGCCTGTATGTGCACTCACTGCAGAAATCCTTGTCGTTCTTTGGAGGGGAGAGGTTATCCTTGTTTCTGTCCAGGCTGCTGTTTGTGGTATGGTCTTTGCAACCTGTCTGTCCTGGGCTGTACCTCTCTGCAGGGAGGGGGACACTCCTCCAGCTCACAGAGCGTCTGAGTGCTCTAGACCAGCTTTTGCCTTGCAGCTTGGCTCTGATTGTTGGGAGGATGAAAGCAGTCTTCTAGTTTGGCTCTTTTTGCCTTTGACTGTTTCTTCATCATGTTTAAGCATTGCTTTATTTGGAGATGGGTTAGGCAGTCAGTAAATTCCAGAGATAAGAATGAGTTTTCTTTATGACGCCAAGTAGTTCATTGAATTTGGTTAGTTCCCTTGTCAAATTGTCCCTTTTTGGGTTTTTGTTTGTTGTTGGGTCACACTCAGCAGTGCTCAGGGGTTACTCCTGGCTCTGCACTCAGGAATCAATTCTGGTGGTACTCAGGGAACCATATGGGATGCTGAGGATTGAACATGGGTTGGCTACTTGCAAGGCAAGTGCCCTCCCGCTGTCTTGTCATTCCAGTCCCTTGATTTACATAGGTTATTGAGTTGATTTGGTTTGTATTTTATGGGCAAGGTGGTTGTGGCCTGGGTGGTTATTGCCTCAGGATGTGCTGACTGAGGAAGTCCTGAGGGAGGTGTGCTGGGCTATAGAGGTGCCATGGCATGTTCTGGGCACTGGGGAAAGGTGGACAGACCCCCTAAACACAGCCCAGGCAGAGGCTGCTCCTGGAAGCCAGCTCTTTACCTCTGCAGCTCTGCATGCTGGTGGGACTCGGCAGCTATGAGGCATGCTCCTCTCGGCATCCCCAACAGCCCATCAGCCCACTCCTGTTCTCTGAGACCAGGGAGATAGAGTAGAGTGGAAACCCAGTCTCAGTGAGGTGTAGGCAGATGTCGGGGATACCTTACTGTGGGACTTGGTGTTGTTCATGTCTCCTGGCAGGAGGCATGTGTGGGAGGCGGGCCTAAATTCCTCGGTGGGTTATTTCCAAGGTTCTTCAGCAGGGCAGTAGAGGGTGGTGGGCGCTGTTGGACTGCTGTTGGAGGGATGTGGCTTTATGGTGTGCTCACTTGCCCGAATACTCGGACTTGTGGCAGGGAATCAGTGACCCTTACATTCAGCAAAAATGTCCTCAGGGCCAGAGAAGTCACCTTAATGGTCTGGAATGCATGCTTTGGGTGGGGGAGGCTAGGACTTCCTGGGACTGCATTGTGCCCCAGCACAGAACTGAGTAGCCCCTGAGCATTGTTGGGTGTGACTCAAAAACAAAAATTTGTCAGTGAAAGTGAGTCAAGCTGAATAGAACATGTGGGAGGAGTGCATACAGCTCATACCCTCCACCAGTGGCCCTTTGAAGAACTGAATGCCAATTTACTGTCATTGCATGTGCACCTTTATACTCCGCGGTCTTTTGTATAAACTCATTTTCTCCCTTCACCATTATAATATATCCAGATTGTTTTCACTGGAGGATCTGTAACACTGGCTCTTCCAAACACACTTATAGGCAAGGCAAATGCCACTTCTTTAAGTGGTCTCTCTGTGGACCCTCTGGTCACCCAACCTGCCACCCCCTTGCCTGGCTTTATCTTTGCTGTATTGTGTGGCTACGTCATTGACTTGTGTTCTAGATTTTATTTTATTTTTTTTGTGATTTCCATGTTTCTTCCATGTGCTTTTTTGCATAGAAACAAATGTGTCTGACTTTGCTGCATTTCTAACACTTGTGGGACCCTGAACCAGCACTGTCATTTCCAGAGCCTTTACCTCCTGTCCCTGCTTTTCCACTTTATTTAAAAAAAATTTTTTTTTGGTTGGGGGGGACATATGGCTGTTCTTGGGGCTCACTTCTGGTGGGGTAAGAGGGTCCATATGTGACACCAGGGATCAAACCTGGGTTGGCTGCATGCAAGGCAAGTGCCCTACCAGTGGTATTATCTCTCTGGTCCTCCAGATCCGCTTACTCCTTTGAGCAGCATCTTCAAGAAGCTAAAATACTTTTAAAGTGTCCCGTGTAGTTCCCAGGATGGCTTCTGTGAATGTTCTGACCTGGTTTTGAGTTGCTGAATCTTGTCTCTCAGTAGCCCAGGGCTGTGCTACTCTGCTCCTGTAGTGGTTGGTGCCCTCCATCCCACCTGAGAGTCCTGCTGCCATAGGGCCACTGCTGCTTCTTTCTCACCCCTCTCCTGAGAGGCCTTCTCACGCTGCAGTGGAAACCACTACCCTCCATGTGTTTACTGCTCTGCAGATCCCAGACTCTGTTTACATGTGATCATACCTTGTACTATGTGTGCAGAGTTGATGCGTGGCCTTACTGTGCAGCTGGCCATACTGCCCATTGTGGTGGTCCTGGGGCTCCTAAGCACTTTTTGGGAGGAAACCCCCAAACCATTTTTCTTGCCATGTTTTTGGTGAGTGGGATTGGACCGTATCTTGTTTGAAATCAAATGTTTTTTTTATGTTTTCCTTCTTAAATTTGGTTTGCTCCTAGGTTCTGGCCAAGTAATCATAAAGTCGATGAACATTATGATTAGCTCTAGTGATCAAGCACCAGGTATTGTTGGCATTTGTGTGTCATGATTAGATCCTCGAAAGACAGGTTATGATGCTTCAATTATGGGACTTTGCCAGGAAAGAATTCAGATTCCCAGGGAATTTCCTCTCCCCTTCAGCAGCAGATGTGTGGCGAGGATGAGGTCGAGTGCTCAGATAAAGATGAGCCTGATGTAGATGGAGACGTATCCAGTGACTGCCCCACCATTCGGTCACCGCTGACATCTCTGAAGAGCCACCAGGGAGTGGTCATAGCTGCTGACTGGCTGGTTGGGGGAAAGCAGGTGGTGACAGCCTCGTGGGATCGAAGCGCAAATCTGTACGACGTGGAGACGTCAGAACTGGTTCACTCGCTGACAGGTAGGGAGTGGGGTGTCGACGCTGCCAGTGGTGCATTGATTTGGGCATGGGCGGTTATCCTGCCAGTCTCTTCCAGAGGTTTTTAATTCTTTTGTAATTTTCCCAGTCGTTCTCTAACCAAGGCTGCCTTTACCTGGCAGGCAGAGTCCAGATAGTCAGAAGACCAGGTCAGTGTGCTCATTGTAGCGTTATAACCGGTTTCCACCAGCTTGGTGCCTTAAAGAAAAAAAGATGAATTGTACCTCCTGGTCCCCTGGGTCAGAGTTCTTGGGGCCCCTGGAGGCCCTTCCCAGGGCTCCAACTCTAGCCTTCTCTCTGTTGTGGATCCACTTCTTTGTGGTAGACAACTGAGCTCCCATTTGCCTGCTGGCTGTCAGCCTGCCTCAGAAGCCTTTACCATCCCACTGTTGGCTTTGTCCATGTGTCCTGTTCCTTCTTCCAGGACCCACCACTTACTTAGTTCCCCCAGCCCTAGATCACTGGACCTCCTGATTGAGAGACCGTAAGTACTTTGAAGTTGGCGAGCAGAGCAGGGAGCACATGGCCTTACATTCGCAGGGTTCTGCCCAAACTCAGCACCTTCAGTGTTGCTTTCTAGTTTTTTCATGGAGTGAAACTCCTCTTACACGATGTGGTTTACTGAAGGTTCTGTTAGTAGAGGTCATTCTGGAAATGAAGAACTGATTTGTCTATGAGATCCTCTGAAGAGATTGATTTTCTGTCCAGAAAATGGGTCTGATTCCATACCCTTTTCTGCTCCCTGAAAGTGCATGTGTATGGGAATGCTGCTGCCTGTCGCCCCCACTGCCTGCTGGCAACTGAGGGACCCTGGCAGTGCAGCCACCACGCCCACCTCTGCACTGCGTGTGGGCAGTTCCCTGTGACACCTCTGCAGGTGGATGATCCTGTGTTCTGTCGTCTTTGGTTGTAGGCCATGACCAGGAGCTCACGCACTGCTGCACACACCCCACTCAGCGGCTCGTGGTGACCTCTTCCCGCGACACGACTTTTCGTCTCTGGGATTTCAGGGACCCTTCCATCCACTCCGTGAATGTCTTCCAGGGCCACACGGAGTGAGTGCAGCTGTTTCGAGGTCTCTTTGCAACCATTCGTGAGAAAGGGTTTGTGGGTTGACGTCGGCCTTCATTCACAGTTAGCCCCGCTCCACTGCCTTTCAGGAGTGGCTGAGCAGCTGCTCTCCCTGAATGTTTAGCTCAGTTAGGGAGATGTCACAGAAATGGGAGGTAAAGAGGAGACACTGGCAGTGTCCATAGGAGTAGTGCGGGGAGGATCCAAGAAGACTTGAGGTGCTCTTGCATTGGTGGTAGGTGTGAACTGGACTGGTCTTTGGCTGCACTGTCGTGGCTGGTCTGCTTTGGGGCAGTTGAATCTGCAGGGTCTATCCCAGCAGGCACTCACATACCCCAGCACCTCAGTCTGGAGGGCTCCTTCCTCCTGGATGTCTGTCCCCACAGAACTTGTTCTCCCACCTAGCCCTCTCTTTCCAGATTCCTCCCCTGTATGGCCCCCCCCTCCCGCCTGCTCCCTGTCCAGGTCTGGCTTCTGCGGCATGTTGCTCTCTCCCCTTGGCAAGAAAAGACTGTGTGGAGGTACTACTCAACGTTATCTCCTACGGGGGTGACACTGCCTGGGGCTGCTCCCAGACACCCTCCCCTCACTCCTCATCAAACACAGTCAGCAGATCTCTTCTTGAGTGAAACATTCGCCGTCTAGTGTTGGAATGTTCCAGAGGGTGCTAGCAATCTGTCGGGGTCCTAGAGGTTACAAGGCCGTTGTCCACCTGGGTATGAGACCTTCTAGACTGTGGGTGGTGAGTCGTAGGAGTGCTTTGAGGTTTCTGTGTGACCCTGGCTTTGTCTGTCCTGGGACTTTGAGGGAAGAATCACCTGAGTCCCAGTTCCTGGTGGTTTGTACTGGTCAGTGTTCTCCTTCTGGTCCAGGGCATTGAGTGACCTACATGGGCCCCAGGACCTCGGACCTTCCCTTGTCCTGATTTTGCGGGCCCATCCTGTTTGTGTCTCCTTAGTGGGACTGGAGGCTGTTGGAGGGATTGTCTGCTTAGTGTGGACCATCCAGAGCTGATGGCAGGTCCCACTGAAGGGTTTGAGGCTAAGTCAGGCTTGAGTCCACAAGAAGGCGGTGGGGACCCTGGCTCCATACACTTGGGGGACAGCACCTTTCTGCTGGGCCTCCTGAACTCTGCCCTGGAGTTCATTAGGAATCATCAATGTCGGCACAACAGTACAGTGAGCCTGCTGGGTTATTTCTCTTCTTCACAAGTAAACATACGTCCTGCTGGTTTTATAGTGCACACACATTCCTTTTTCTCCTGACCCTACAGTCTACACACGTCTGCTCTACAGATAATATCCTGCCTGTGTACAGTACACACGTGTTTTCGCCTTTTCAGTTGGATGTATGTCCTGTGTCTTCCCTTTGTCATGACACTTGGTCCCAGGTCACCTCAGACACATCTTGAGAAAAAGGCCATTCCCCTAAATACCCTTAAGTGACAGAAGTGGCACTTGAGACACATAGATGGACAATATTTTCTGATGATCTTTCATGACTGGTCTGACACCAGCTGATGGTTGGTTTCAGTCAGTGTTTCTGTTGAGTGCTACCAAACGGGGGTGGGGTGGAGGGTAGGTTCTGCTGAACTCACTGGTCAGCAGTGTCCTTTGAGTTGGTGTGTGGTGAAGAACCTTTGATTGTCCTTAAGAGAGTGGAGACCTGGAGTGTTATCTCTTGGCTTATTTGGACATGACCTTATGGTCTGGGCACACACAGAGCCATAGTGAGAACCACCCCTCTTGGTCCTCATTTCAGTCATCAGAGTCTGAGGTTCAGTTCTCTTTGCCTTTATCCATTTCAGTGACTTCCTTAGGGCAAGATGTAGTTGCATGGGCTCTGCCTTCTCCGAGGCAATTTCAGACTAAGAAGCAATTTTCTACCCCTCTTATCTTTCACTGTGTCGTCATTGTGCTTCTCTGTGGATTTTAGGCCTCTTGATATGGTCAAGGCTGAGAGGTGACATGGCATGGACACATATACAGATGACTGGAGTGCATCCTCATTTTGCAGGAGTCCTGTGCTTGGATTGGGTTCTCAAGGCACTTCATGGTCCCACCAACCACCAGCTGTGGACCCAGCATGCACTTACACAGGGTCTGTGCGCACTGTTGGAGACTTGGGTCTTCCAGTTTAGAAAGAGCACGTGAAGTCTTTTGTCACCATGCTTTTAACCATGGTGCAATTTAATAGCACCCTGCCTGGAGTGAGTCCTTGTTTGTGACTCATGGCACTCCCATTGATGGGAGTCCTGTTAAGACACTTGAACCAAGTGTTTTTTTTTTTTTTTTTAAAGCTGCTATTAGAGTAATAGGAATTGCAAAATGCTGTCATGTCCAGGAATCCTCACCTTTGGCTTTTTGTGTCATACTTGACAATGTACTGAATTGGCTCTGCATGTGGGAATTACTCCTGGTAGTGCTCAGGGGACCATATGGAATGCCAGGGATTGAACCTGGGTCAGCCACATGCAAGGCAACTGCCCTACCCCTGTACTGCAGCCCAGAATCCCCACCTTTGGCAATTGATTTCTCATTTACTTCTGTTCTCATTGTCAAGAGCTGGAGCAGAAATATGCTTTGTCTCTGAAAGAGCATCGTCTTCCATCCCTCTTGCTCTCCCCTGGGGCTTGGTCTCCAGGGAGCTGACTGAAAAGTTGTCACCCCCTGTTTCTCTTTACCCCCCTGTTCATTTCGGCCCAGTGCGGTCATACATTTCATGGCCGTGCATACAGGCTTCTGTGCCAAGATCTTTGAAAGGAAAGATACGCTTTTGATGTGCTTGCTTCGGCAGGACTGTATCACTGTATCACTGTCAACCTGTTGTTCATTGATTTGCTCGAGCGGGCGCCAGTAATGTCTCCATTTATCCTAGCCCTGAGATTTTAGCCACTTCTTCTTTCTCCTCTTTCCCAACATATTGGAGGCTCTTTTAGGGTGAGGGGAATGAAATCCGTTATTGTTACTGTTTTTGGCATATTGAATATGCCATGGCTGGCTTGCCAGGCTCTATCGTGTGGGGGTTACTTACTCTTGGTAGCTTGTCAGGCTCCCGAGAGGCTGTATTGTTCTCTATGATTTGTTGCCTACTTTCCGAACCCCACCAAATATGGTGTGGTAATTATGGAAAATGGGTAGGAAGTGTCTTATAATGTTCTGGGGCCGTGCAGTTCAGGAATATGTTCACTCATGCATGAGGCTAGGCCCAAGCATGTGGAAAGCAGCCTGGAGTGTGGCAGTGCTTGGGTAGTGGAGGTCAGTTGCTGGGGTTGGATCCCTTAGGGCGGGGAGGGTTCTCACCCACCCCCCCTCTGGAGTGTACCGAGTGAAAACAGCCTGGCACGGAGTCCAGCATATACTAAAGGCAGGACATAAACTAAAATTGGAGATACCCTTTTTTCTTTTTTTAATTTTCTATGGGATGCCAGGAATTGAACCTGGGTCAGCTGCATGCAAGGCAAACACCCTACGCACTGTACTACTGCTCTGGCTGCTGGAGATACCCTTTTGAGGCTGTATTTTTTTTTGTTTTTGGAGCCATGCCCAGTGATGCTCAGGGCTTGGTCTTGTCTCTGCACTCAGGAATTATACCTTATGGTGCTCGAGGGACCATAGGGGATGCCGGGGATCGAACCAGGGTCAGCTACATGCAAGGCAAGCTCCCTCTGTGTACTATCTTCCAGCCTCGAGATTTACTTTTGTTGTTCTGTTTTAGGGCCACTGCTGACAGTGCTCAGGGGTTTCTCCTGGTGGTGTACGGGAAACCAGATGGGATGCCTGGGATCAAACTCAGGTCGGCCACATGCAAGGCAGGTGCCCTACCCACTGTACTATTGCTCCAGTCCCACCCCACCTCCCCCATTTTTTGGGTTTGTTTCTTTTTGGCCGCAGCTGGTAATCCCTGGGGTTATTACTGGCTCTCTGCTCAGGAATCACTCCCAGTGGTGCTTGGGGGATTGAACCTGGGTTTCCTGCATGCATGGCAAGTGCCTTATGCGCTGTGTTGTCTTGCCAGCTCCCAGACTGGCAGTATTTGCTCATGTGAATGTAACATAGCGTGGATAAAATGCAGGGAATGCTCTGTATTTTCTCGTTTTTCTGGTTATGATTTTGAGCTTCCCAAAGGAGTGTAACTTTATCCCACAAATGTTAATGTAAGGACTGCAAAGAAGCCAAAAAAAATCACATCTAACAAAAGCTGAGAAAATCCTTGTGAATGTGCTTATTGAGCATATTTAGTACCAATTGTATGTTACATTTTTAAAAAGTGAAGCTTTGACTTTTTTGTCATGATGGTAACAATTTTCTTTATGCTTTTAAAGAAAATGTTGGGGGTTCAGAGCAATAGTACCGTGGATAAGGTGCTTGCCAGTCTTGCACCCCATATTCCCCACCCTCCACCCTCTACCCCCTACCCCCAGTCTGCCAGAAGTGATTCCAGAGTGCAGAGAGCCAGGAATAACTCCTGAGCACAGCTGGGTATGGCTCAAATCCTCCCCCTACCCAAAAAGAAAACAGAAAACAAAAAGAACCAACCAGAAAACCCTGCAACAGAGTGTTGGAAGCTACAATTTTTGTTGTTTTGTTTTTGGGCCATGCCCAGCGGTGCTTAGGGCTCTGTACTCAGGAATCATTCCTGGTGGTACTCGGGACCATGTGGGATGCCAGGGATCGAACCTGGGTTGACCACGTGCAAGGCAAGCACCCTTCCTATTGTCCATTGCTCCGGCCCCAGGATACTATAGGCAAAACTGGGGAAGACTAACTAATCATTCTTGATTTCTGTGCTGGGATACTATAGATAAGGTCACAGAAGTGTGTTAGTCTTGTTGCAAGCTTACTGCCTCTTCCCACTCTGAGATCATTTCCTTGGATGCTTCTGGTCCTCCTCTTCCCCTGCCTGCATGCAGGAAGTTTCTTCTGTGTAAGTTAGTGGTGAGTGTGTACCCTCAGTTGCCAGATGCCTGTCGGATCCCCCCATTTTTGGACACAGCGGTGCTCCTGTTTGTCTGTCACCACTGACTGAGAGAGGCCCCCTCTCCCAGCACCTTCTCTCCCACCCCCTCTCTGTTCTTTGCACATTGACCGGCCTTTCCACCCTGCCATAGCCCTCAGTGTTGTTTCCTGGAAGGCCTGTGTTTGTGAAAGTAGAAGGGGGTTACAGCTTCTTCACTCATGCCTTTCACGTTCCCACTGAAGATGACTGCTCTGAGGGGGAACCAGGGCATTGGGGATCCGTTCTCCAAGCCACTCTACACCGCAGCCTAGTGCTCTGATCGCTTCTTTTCTTTGGGTTACTGACTCCTCCCTGACTGTGAGATGGGACATGCATGGCTGTTGGCAAGCTAGGATAGTCGAGGAACCATCTGTGCCAGGTTTCAGGGTGGCAGAGCCAAGATATGCCAGGAGCAACTGCCAGGGCAATTCTGGAAAGGTCTGGCCCTGGCACACCTGTCTAGCACCTGCATCAGGGCCCCAACTTGGTCTGACTGGCGCAGCAGGCCTCTCAGCTGCTGATGGGGCAGAGACACTTCATATCCCTGCCAGCCTTGGGTGAGATCAGGGCCTCCTCGAGACAGAAGTGCGTGTGTGTGTGTGTGTGTGTGTGTGTGTGTGTGTGTGTGTGTGTGTCAGGTGGGTGCTCTGTGCTGCCTGGTGCAGGCTTCCCTTGTCCCTTTTTCACTGTCAGCCTCTCTGCAAGTGGCTGCGCTTTCCATGGTCTGCGTGCTGGTGCTGCCCCTTCTCACCGCCTGTCCTTGTGTTGCTGCTGACACTTCACAAAGACAGTCCGGCTGAGGCCCTTCCTGTGGAGCACAGGCACAAGTCATGGCCCTTGAGAATGGTGAGGCAGCACAGAGGCTGGAGGTGTGTCTGGCTGATGAGAGCAGACAGCTGAGAGTGCTCCTCGCATCATCATCTTGGGCTGGCAGGGGCAGTTCCCAGCACATAGTGGACAGAAACGAGCTACCTTTGTGTGTTCAGTAGCTACATAGTGGACAGGTCCGAGCTACCTCTGTGCTCTTGCAGGGCACAGAGCTGGGTGGGGTAAGTGCCCCTTGTCTCCAGAGCACAGAAATAGTCCTGGAAGAGGCAGGTAACATGGGGGACTTGACAGAGTTTGTGTCTCAGGATATCTGTTTGGAGAGTCTCCATCCAAGGACATCACAAGGTCGGGGGACATCCCTGGGGGCAGGGGGGAGCCGTGTACTTGTCCTTTGGGGACTGCCGGCATGTGGTGTGTTCAGCCCTATGTGGCTGGTTACCATGCAGATTAGCTTTTTCAGCCCACATGGGCAAGGGGGTCAGGAAGCTGTGTGACACTCTGCGGAGGTGCCCCATGGGTGCAGGCCCCATGGGTGCAGGCTGTGAGTTCTGTAGAGGCTGCTCGGGAGCAGGCTCTTGCCTGCCATGGCACATGTGCACGCAGGACTGGGCTTTGTGGGAGCTGCTTCCTTCCGAGTGTGGAGGGAGCACAGCGGCCCTGCTGCCACATTCTTCACATCAGATACTTTTTTCTTAGCGTGAAATTCTGGCAGATTGTTATGCAAAAACAGTTCTGTGTCTCTGTGTGCCGGGGAGACAGCTGTTAGTCCTAATGAGGACTGCGAGCGCTGCAGTCTTGCCTTGATTGAGACCCACGGAGGGAGCGGAATGTTCCAGATCAGGCAGTGGTGTGCAGCGAGGAGGGCCGTGCTGTCAGCTGGAAGCACATGCTCGGCTGCTCCCTGCGACAAGATAAATGAGTTGGCGGAGTTGCCGAGTCGCAGCTTTTCCAGTGAGTGCTCGTGGCGCTGGGCTCCCTGTGGGACCTCAGGAGGCCCTCCATGCCCCGCCCGCCCCTCGCCCTGAGACACCTCACAGTACCTGTCAGGAGCGTGATTTATGGAAAACCTAACAGTCTTAGCACTTCATGAATGTGGTGGAGCAGCCCTCGATGGAGGCTTTTTCTATTCGTTTAGCAGAATGTTCACTGGGATTTAACTTGGCCAGCAGGTCTGGAAGACACTGTCTGGGACCTCGTGTGCCGTTCTTCACTCTCATAGCCGCGCCATTCTTCACTCTCAGTAGGAGTTGGGGTTCCGCACCCCGCTCTGGAGTATACAGAGTCCCTCAGACCTCCTGTCCCCCTGGTGTGTACTAGCGGAGACCATGCGGCTGCTCATGCCCCAGCCTAGATCTGATGACCTGGAGTGTGAATGTTCGCTCCCTCTTTCCTGGGGGAGTGGCTACAGATCTTGGGTCTGGATTGAACCACTGTCATTGCTTCAGGTCAAAAAAATTCATTTCTTGTTGTAATCTCTAAGTGAAAGAAAAGTCATGTGAGATTATTGTGAGAATGCTGTGACTGTCTGCAAAATCTCTCTGACTTGTTCAGAGTCACTATCTCTGGCCCCTAAATATTCTTGGAGGCAGCCCACTCAACACAGTTGGCCAACCAGTGGGTGAGACCTTGTGGTTTTGCCCTTTTCTAATGAGGGTTGTTGGTTTACAGGAGGATAAATCTGTCTCATTCCATATCCTCTCCACTGTTCCAGTACCTTCTCCCCAGCCTGGGAGCGTCGCAGGCTATGGCTTGATTTCCCTTTCTTCTGCCCTGTCTCCCACACCAATACATCCTGAGGCTTCCCCCTACCCCCCACCCCCGGACTGGCATGTACTACTCAGGCGGCGCAAAGGTCCTTTCTTGTCTCTTCCAAGGGCTGAGCTGTCGCAGCCACACATCTTTCCTTGCTCACCTGTGTTGGGGCGCTTGTGTTGTTTCCCTATCTTGGCTGTTGTCAGCAGCTCTTTGTAGGTGTGCAGCCTCCTTTTTGGATCAGTGTTCTTGTGTTATTGGGAAAGAAGCCGGGAGCGGAGTTGCTGGGTTGTTTTTGGGCCACATGAGTGGTGCTCAGGGATTATTCCTACATGCTCAGGAATCACTCCTGGTGGTACTTGGGGGACCATTTGGGATGCTGGTGATTCAACTTGGGTGGCCACGTGCAAGGCAAATGCCCCTCCGCTGTCCTATTGCTCTGCTACCCCCCCCTTCCGCCTACCCCCTTATGGAGGTATGATGACAAACTGAAAACTGAATCTACGTGAGATGTGATGTGGCGACACCATGTTGTCATGTACTGAGCTAATCATTTCATCGTTAAAAATACCTCTGGTCACTTAGGTTTTCATGCTGGGGGATGCAAGACGAGTGCTCTTCCCCAGTCTAGTCAAAGTAATCTTTGTTTTTGTTGTTGTGCCACATCTGGCTCTGTGCTCAGGGATCACTCCTGAAAGTACTTGGCGAACTGTAGGTGGTGACAGGGAGTTGGCCACACACAAGGTGAGCACCCTGTCTGCAGTACTATCTCTCCAGCTTCAGTCAAACTAACCATCACACGTTACGCCTTGTATGGATTTCTTTGTGTGGGTGGGGAGGGGTGCTTTTTGGAGAGGTTTAGGGGTGATACTCGGTGTCATGGGAACTCTGATGCTGGGGATGAACCCCAGGCCACAGTATACAAACCATTCGTTTATCCTGTTCCCATCTCCTCGACCCAAATGAGAGTTCTGAGAGCTCTCTCCACCCTCTCAGGCCCATTCTGCAGCATGTTGGGCTGGACCCTGACCTCTTCTGACTGTGTGGTGTGCTCTTGCACCTTCAGCCCAAGCCACAACTGTGCTCTTCCCAGTCCCATGCACAGGGAGCTCCTTGTCATCCAGGACAGCATAGCCTCCCTTCCTGTGGCAGCATTAGAATTCCATTGTGTTCCTGCATCACAGTTTCATTGTTGGACAGTCCTCTGGTCACGTAGGTGTAAATAATGCTTCAAAGAACAATGAGAGGTAGTAGGCACATACACCCACATCTCACAACCTGTTTCCCTCAGCCCCCTAGGGTCCATTTGGTGTGTGATTGTGTTTGTTGGGCAGTGTGGACAGGGCTTGTTTCTGTGTCCTCAAATTATCCACAAAATAATTGACCCGCTATCCCTCCTTTGTAGCACAGTGACCTCTGCTGTGTTCACAGTAGGGGACAACGTGGTTTCCGGCAGCGATGACCGCACTGTGAAGGTCTGGGACTTAAAGAACATGAGATCCCCTATTGCGACTATTCGGACGGACTCTGCCATCAACAGGTGAGGCCGACTCAGCAGCCGGAGCGAATCCCTAGTTGTGCATGCTGCTGTTTCATTGGTGGGTGCTTGGGGGAGGAGGTATTGGCTCCGGGAAGGCCTTCTGTGTTGAGCCTCTCATGCCTGGGTTTCCAAATTGAACTCTCTACCGTTCCATGTTAGGAGGAAAATCACTCAGCACTCCCTCCCACCAGTCTACCTTCTTGAAGAGAACAAGCAGAAAGTGCCCCCTGCTGCTCCCCCGGGGTGGCCCTAGGGCTGTGTGTGGTGGGATTACCCTCTCTGGGAAGCAGTGCATGAGTGTGAGTTTGGGATTTCCTGGTACCGGAAGTTAGGTGGAAGAATCAGAAGTAGGTCTCTCATTGTGTTTTCCTGTGTCTGGCCTCTGCCGCTGCTGATGTGTGGGCAGTGGGAGTGAGTACCTGGAACTGCCCCCTTTCTCTGACAACCCTTCTCCCTTCTTTCTGCAGGATCAACATTTGTGTGGGCCAGAAAATCATTGCCCTCCCACATGACAACCGGCAAGTGAGATTGTTCGACATGTCGGGCGTGCGGCTCGCACGGCTCCCCCGCAGCAGTCGGCAGGTAACTGTTCTGGTGGCATCTGTGTTCTGAATTTTCTGTAGTCTAAAGAGACCTCGGGAGACTTGGGGCTTGCTAGTCCTGTACCGTCCCTACAGTGTGGATGTGGTCAAGATACATGTGTGGTTGTGGTTTGTGCTCTTCACCACCCAGGCTGTGCTGGTCCACAGATGAAAGGTGAAGAACTCCGGCTTAAGTTTTCCCTTTATTTTTTAAACTTTATTTAAACACCATGGTTTATAAAGTTGTCATTAATACTGTTGTGACAGGTATTTGATGTTCCAACACCAGTCCCACCACCAGAGTGACTTTCCTTTCACCATTGTCCATTGTCCTATTATTCCCCCAGCCCCTCTCCATGCCTGCTCCTTTTGTAGCACAAAATAATTTATTTTACATTGTTAGTTACAACTAAATAGCTAATGGAATTAACAAAAAGTTTTTTTTTTTTTTTTTTTTGCTTTTTGGGTCACACTGGCAATGCACAGGGGTTACTCTTGGCTCTGCACTCAGTAATTACCCCCTGGCGGTACTCAGGGGTCCATATGGCATGCTGGGTGCTGGGAATCGAACCCGGGTCGACCGTGTGCAAGGCAAATACCCTACCTTCTGTGCTATCACTCCAGCCCTCTTAACAAAAAGATTTGTGAAAATTGTTTATCACCATGTGGGCATCAAATCCTTGTCCGAGGGTTTACTAAGCTGTTTGTTGCTAGTTGAGCCTTCTGTATTGTTTTTGTTTATTGAACTTGATTGGTTTCTATGCTCTGTTCCCATCTAATCTTAATTAGATGTGTTAATAATTAGGTGTGTTAATACCGGGCTGTCAGTTTGGAGGTGTCCCTATATGCGGCCATGCACTCCAGGAACTCCAGGATCTGTAGAACTGGGCCCATGAGTTTACGTGACAGTGACTGTGGGCTATGATGTGGCTTTCTGGGCTACTAGAAGTATTGGGCATGGGGCATGCGAAAGAGACTGCCTGCTCCCACTCTTTGAACACCCCAGAGTTTTCATCCTGGAAACGTATCTCTGTGGAGATTATCATGGAGTGGTAGAGTTGGGCCATTGGCATGGTGGCAGAAGTTTTCTGTTTTGATTTTTGTTTTAAATGATTTGGTTTAATGTCACATGATACAGAAAATGGGAGAGAGCAGACTTGCATGCAGGGCAAGTGCCTTATCTTGACAAAGAGTGCCTTGGCTGGATTCTTGACTGGATTTCTTGACCTCTCAGAAATGCTGGAAATAGCTGAGTGAGAACCAAAGAGAAGAAACAAGTTTGTGATCTTTGTGTTTATTTATTTTTAGTGAATCACCTTGAGATAGTTACAGACTTACAGACTTTCATGATTATGTTTCAGTCATACAATGTTTGAGTACCCATCCCTGCACCAGTGCCCTTTCTCCACCACCAATGTTCCAGTATCCCTCCCTTTTTGTTTTTTTATTTAAAAGAGCAGCATATTCTTTTTATTTGAAAAGTTGGGTTTTTTTCTCCTTACATATACATTAATATTTTATTTTTTAAAAAATTTTTATTAGTGAAACACCATGAGGTACACAGTTGTGGACTTAAAAACTTTCATGCTTGCATTTTAGTTATATAATGATCGGTTAACTATCCCTCCACCAGTGCCCATTCTCCTTCATCAATGATCCCAATATCCCTCCCACTGCCCCCACCCCATTCCCTCCACCCATACCCCGCCTCTGTGGCAGGGCATTCCCTTTTACTCTCTCCTTTTGGGTGTTGTGGTTTGCAATAGAGGGATTGAGTGTCCATCGCGTTTGGTCTATAGTCTACTTTCAGCTCGCATCTCCCATCCCGAGTGGATCTTCCAAACACTCTTGGTGTTCCCTTCTCTATGCGTACGAGGTTAGTTTCCAAGTCGTGGAGCAGACCTTCTGGTCCTTATCTCTACTACTCTTGGGTGTTAGTCTCCCATTCTGTTACTTTATATTCCACACATGAATGCCATCTTTATATGCCTTTCCCTCTGTTTCTGACTCGTCTCACTTAACATGATACTTTCCATGTTGATCCACTTATATGCAAATTTCATGACTTCATCTTTTCTAACAGTTGCATAGTATTCCATAGTGTAGATGTACCAAAGTTTCTTTAACCAATCATCTGTTCTTGGGCACTCAGGTTTTTTCAAGATATTGGCTATGATAAAAGTATAGCAATGAACATACAAGTGCAGATGTCATTTTGACTATACTTTTTTGCCTCTCCGGGATATATTCACAGGAGTGGTATTGCTGGGTCAGATGGGTATAATTTTTTGAGAATCGTCCATACTGTTTTCCAAAAGGGCTGAACCAGTCGGCATTCCCACCAGCAGTGAAGAAGAGTCTCTTTCTCCCCACATCTGTGCCAACACTGGTTGCTTTTGGTTTTTCGGATGTGGGCCAGTCTCTGTGGTATGAGATGATGATATTTCATTGTTGTTTTGATCTGCATCTCCCTGATGATTAGTGATGTAGAACATTTTCTCATGTGCCTTTTAGCCAATCGAATTTCTTCTTTGAGAAAGTTTCTGTTCATTTCGTCACCCCATTTTTTTCCCTTTTTTTTGCTTTTTGGGTCATACCTGACGATGCTCAGGGGTTATTCCTGGCTTTGCACTCAGGAATTATTCCTGGCAGTGCTCAGGGGACCGTATGGGATGCTGGGAATCGAACCTGGGTCGGCCATGTGCAAGGCAAATGCCCTTCCTGCTGTGCTATCATTCCAGCGCCCATCACCCTTTTTTTTTTCTTTTTGCTTTTTGGGTCACACTCGGCGATGCATAGGGTAACTCCTGGCTCGTGCACTCAGGAATTACTCCTGGCGGTGCTCGGGGGACCATATGGGATGCTGGGAATCGAACCCAGGTTGGCCGTGCGCAAGGCAAACGCCCTACCCGCTGTGCTATCACTCCAGCCCCTCATCACCCCATTTTTTGATGGGGTTGGATGTTTTCTTCTTGTGGAGTTCAACCAGTGCCTTGTATATCCTTTAATACCAACCCCTTATTGGATGGGTATTGGGTGAATATCCTTTCCCATTCAGGAGCAGCATATTCTTAAGTGTGCAGTAAGTTCCCAGGCCATACATTCTAGCTACTGTTGACAACAGGTAAGTTGGAACCCTGGTGTTTAGCTAGGAATAGAATTAAAAGTCACCAGGTGGACCGGAGCAATAGTACAGTGGATAGCATGTAGCTGACCCAAGTTCAAACACCAGCATTCGATATGGTCCCCTGAGTACTGCCAGGAGTAATTCCTGGGTATGACCCAAAAAAGCAAAAAAATAGAAAAGACAAGTCACCAGGGGCCCAAACGCAGGATTTTCTTCGTTTATATTTTAAGTTTTTGGGTCATATCTGGTGATGCTCAGAGCTTACTCTCTGGCTGTGCTGGGGGACCATATGGGATGCCGGGGACTGGACCCGGGTCAGGGATGTGCAAGACAGGAGCCTCTCCACTGTCTTGTTGCTCCGGCCCTCTGCCAGATATCTTAATTGCTGTGGTGGCCTGGCAGCTGTGGCGGCAGAGGGGAAGGGTGGGGGTGGGTGGCGGGGCTTTCGACATGACCTTGATTTTGAACCCTGAGTTTCTTCTGCCCCTCCAGTCTCTGTTTGAGAAGTTAGAATTGTAGATCTTATTGAATAAAGTGAAATTAGTAATAGCACTCCAGTGTGTAATAGGTATACAACATTAGAATTTACTTTCTCATTTTTTTTGCCAATTTTTTTTTTATTTTTAAATTTGGAAGTACTTGATATTTGTATAAAGTTCTCTCTCTCTCTCTCTCTCTCTCTCTCTCTCTCTCTCTCTCTCTCTCTCTCTCGGATCACGAACCCAGCAGTGCTCAGGGCTTACCCCTAACCCTGTACTCCATATGGGATGCTGGGATCGAACCTGGGTCGGCCATGTGCAAGGCAAATGCCCTCTGTGCTCTGCTATTGTTCTGGCCCTGCAGGATGTTCTGAGTGCTCCTCTGCACAAGGTCGGGGGAAGGCCGTGCTTTAAAATGTGTTTTTGAGAGATTGGAGCAATAGCACCATGGGTAGGGCATTTGCTTTCGATGGAAGCTGACCTGAGTTTGAGTGATCACTCCTGGTGGGCTCAGGGCATCATATGCTTGCTAGGAATTGAACCCTGGTTGGCTACATGCAAGTGCCTTACTTCTGTACTATCACACTGGCTCCATAAAGTTCTTAAAATTTGAACTTGAAAGTTGCCCAGTCCCTATACTTGAGTTTCAGCAGTGCTTTTTGTTGTGGTGGTGTTGGATTTGTGCCACACCTGGCAGTGCATGGTACCTACTCCTAACTTGTTGCTTGCTCCCAGTGGTGCTTGGGGGATCATGTGGTGTCTGGGAATTGACCCAGGGCCTCATGTGTGCAAGACAAGTGCTCTGCCACTGAGCCACACCTGCCCTGCCGGCTGAGTCTCAGTTCTGAAGTTTAAATGTGAGGTCGGGACTATAGAGATAGTATAGGAGTCAGGTGCTTTTCTGACACCTAGTGCATTCTGGTTCAATCTGCCAGAAGTGAGCCCTGAGCACAGAGCTAGGAGTAAGTCTGAACACTGCTGGGCATAGCCCAAAATTTCCCTCAACCCTGACCCCTCTTAAAATAAAAATGTGAGGTCACATCTTTAACCACTTGGATTTGCAAAATGTTTTTTTTTCTTTTGGCTTTCTTTTGGGGGGTGGGGGGTGTGATACACCCAGTGATGCTCAAGGGTTACTCCTGGCGGTGCTTGCGGGACCATATGGGATGCTGGGATCAAACCCGGGTCGGCCATGTGCAAGGCAAACGCCTACTGTGCTCTGCTATTGTTCTGGCCCTGCAGGATGTTCTGAGTGCTCCTCTGCACAAGGTCAGAGGAAGGCCGTGCTTTAAAATGTGTTTTTGAGAGATTGGAGCAATAGCACCATGGGTAGGGCATTTGCTTTCGATGCAAGCTGACCTGAGTTTGATCCCTAGTGCCCCATAGAGTCCCCTGCTTCCTGACAGGAATGATCCCTGAGTGCAGAGCGAAGAGTAAGCCCTAAGCACCTCTGGGTATGAAACCAAAACAAAATAAAAATAGTGTTTGCTACTTATAGTAGAAAAATCCATTGCAAATTGGATCTATATTGAGTGACAGGTAATGAATGTGTTGGGGGGCTGCGCTGGTGGATTGTGGGTACTCTTCGAAACCATCTCCCCAAGAAATTCTTCTCCTGGCTGTTTACTAGGAGTAGAGGAAACTGCTTTCTGGTGAGCTGAGCTTTGCTCCCAGTTCAGCCCAGCTCCTGTTGTGCTGGTGACTAGGCCAGACTTCAGTTGAGAGCTGCCTGGCTGCCTGGTTGGTATAAGGCACTGTCCTTGTTTGTGGCACCCACCCAAACCCAGGGAGCCTGAGTCTGGAAAGGCCTGGGATATGTGTGTAGAGGGTAGAAGGTCCCCAAGCAGGTGTTGAGGGCTAGAACGCTGTAGCTAAGGCGAGGCTGCTCCAGTCTCTGTTAGGCTTGTTCTCCTGGGGACAGGCCTCTTCTCCTGTCCAGGTCTCCCCTGAGGCTGCAGATCTAGACAGGGCTTGTCCTTCAGTTTGCTGCCTCACTGCATGCTCCCTGTACATTCCTGCTGAGGCCCCTCTGATGCTCCCATTACTTGGCAAGCTCTGCTCTTTGCATGTTGCAGTAGAACCTCACTTGTCCTGGGAGGCATCAGAAGTGCCTCCCAACCCCTGGTGAACCCTGAATCTTCTTCTCCAGGAGCCATCTCGTTGGGCCCCTGCTGAGTGTTGCTGATATCTCACCTAAGCTTGGCATAGCTCATGATTTTTGTACCAAACCCTGTAGTGTTGGGGTTGTCTTCAGGGATGGGACTGCTCACACATTGATCTAGAGATGTCTTCAGGCACCGTGCCTTCTGTGGATCCCACCAGACTTGTCAGACAGTCATCTCCCAGACCCTCATTGTTTACTTGGATTCCTGAAGATGGCAGCGATGATCTTAAAAGGCCACATATTTTTTTTATTGTAAACCACTCTGGTGATGTTCAAGATCTGCTCCTGACACTCTGCTTACATTTGTGTCCACTGGTGCTTATGGGGCCATGCTGGGTCAGGGATTGAACTGAGCGTTCCAAGTATGCAAAATATCAGGCCTTTCGGCTGAAAGGCAATTTATTTGATGCTTATGTGGCATCAAATGTATTATTCTTGTTCCTTTATTTAAGATGTTAATATATCTCTAAGTGAATTTCATTTATAGCATCATGTGTTCATTGAAGAGTTTTGAGCTGAACTGTTACTTTTTTCTCCATCTATAATTGTACGTATTTTTTTTTTTATACAGAATCAAAGTTTTTGGTATGGGCCTCACTGCCCAGCAAGTGCTCTCATCACTTATTTCTTCTTGGCTTGTCCATCAGACCATCACTAGAAGCTGGGTGCTCTGTTCACTTCTTTCCATTCATCCTCTTAAGTCTCTAAACTCAGTGGCTCTGAATGGGTATTGTTACTAACTGAGGTATGGTAGTTCTCTTGCTTTTGGGTGACATTGTACCTGTCTGATTGGTCACAGGGCCACAGAAGAATGGTGTGCTGCTCGGCGTGGAGTGAGGACCACCCTGTGTGCAATCTTTTCACCTGTGGCTTCGACAGGCAGGCCATTGGCTGGAGCATCAACATCCCTGCGCTGCTACAGGAGAAGTGAGGCCCTGTGCCCGAAGCTGCGCTTGCCATGGACCCGGGACAGTGTGGACCTCCTCATCGTGGCCAGTCACATTTATGAGGGTCTGACAAGGGTTGGTTGTGTCTATTGTCACATTGTCCCCAGCTTGCATGAAGTGTCCCGGAAAGCACGTGGTCCTCTTCATTTTCGTCGTTTGTGTGTGTGTGCCGGCACTCTGGTTGGCTCTAAGTCCCTGGCATGTGACCGGTGACAGGAGGGCATTACATTTGTGAGTTCACTGTGAACCTGTGTCCTGCGTCTGTGGAGTTTCTGGAATGACCACCCACTCTTGGTGTCCCGGGAAGGCAGCAGAGCCGGTTGGCGCCAGGCAGCAGGAGTAAGTGGGTTCTGCACTTGCATGGTGCAGCCCAGCTCTGACCCTGCTGCTCAGAAGGGTGAATTTGCAACAAAATTTCCTTCCAAAAGAAAGTTTCTTTTTTATTTTTTTTAAAATAGAAAATCATTTCAATTTCCTGAGGCCTCATGTGAACAAATTCTAAAATACGATTCTAATCACTGATTTAAGATATTAAACAAATTTGAAAGCACTTTAGTTTATAGCTGTGGTTATAAACAGTTTTCAGATGTTTCAGATGACTTCCCCCATTTAATGTGATGACCTTTTTAAGAAGGCTCTGCTACCTGAAACAAGATCTTGTATTTATTTTTTACACTATTGGTTGGTCTAGTTTTGAATGGGTTCACCTCTTTGGTGGTAGTTGAGAGCCAACAATGCAAATAAATGAGTACTACCTCAAAATGAAATATATTTGGGAAACATGGGCATCTCACTGTTACCAAGTAGAAAGTGCTAATGGGTGGTGGAACCTGAACCCCACCCAGAGGGCCAGGAAGACAGTGGCTGCTCACATTCTGGAAGAGGCTGATCTTGGTCAGGCTGACAGGCCAGTCAGAGTGCAATTTGTAGGGAACAAACGTGTTTGTTCCGGTAGCTAGGACATGTTCAGTGCCAACCTGCCACTGCCAGCGTCTGCCTGTCTCCTGCCTTCTTGGGATCACTGTCATCTGATATTTAGAAGTCTGTGTTTTTTGTTAATAATGAGACATCTCAGTTTACTGCCCTTTTTTTTTTCTTTTATTCCCGTTGACTCTGTCCACTTGAAGGCCGCTGGGGAGGGCCAGGTCAGCACCTGTAGGAGTGATCTTTGGTGAGGCATTGGAGGGGGCAGACCGATTACCCCAAGGTGGACCTACCTCCAGGTGGCCATTGGGTGGGATCTGATCTTGAGAGCTCCAGCTCTGCACTCTTAGTTGGTTCTCTAATGATTGACACAGCCCCAGGGATGGAGGAGCCAGAAAGTTTGAATTATGATATAATCCGAGTTGAGCTTGCTGCCAGTGGCATATAGCAAATATTCCTCAATCTCAGGCTGAAGCTCAACCATCTGTTGTTTTTCTGCACAGAAGAGGGTCAGGGTGACCCCTGAGTACACTTCGGGAATGTGGAGTGGGTCCCAGTGCTCATTCCTTAGGGCGCCCACAGAGAAGCTGCATGACCCCCCATCTCTGCACTGTGTTTCCACTGGGATGTCTGGGTATTCCAGAATCACTGGATGCTGGAAAATACCTGCAATAGATCAGTCAAATGCAAGAGCCAGAGCTCCACCAAATGAAAAATTGGGAAGCTCTCAAGTGTTACCTGGTGCTAGTTGGGCAGTTCTGTGCAGACGCAGCTCTCGGTGGACATCAGGAGAGGCTGTGAGACACACCTCCTCCTCCTGGTATGCGTATAGCACGACCTACTGCTACCTAGCTGCACAGCCCCTAGATGAGCCTCCAGGATCTGGAAGGTGGAGACTAAGCCTTCGAGGGCTGTTGGCGTGGCTGCCGCTGAGGAGTGTGGTCACATCAGAGCTAGTGTTGGGAGTGGGTACAGCCTTCAAGTGCTGAACATGTCCAGATTTCATGTAACCCTGGAAGGAAAGTGAGTGTTCACTGAAAACGTGTGCTGCCGAGACGCTGTTGGACAAAGCAATCCTCTTTCTCAGCCACTGCACATCATTTTTGTAGAGTCACAAATTCTGTATATAGTTGGGCATTTGAAGAATCCTGTGTAAGTCATTGTTGCTTAAATCTGTGAAAAACAAGTTTCTTTTTCGGGGAGAAGTATGCATTTATAAGTGTTATGTGGAAGCGAATGTTTTTATTGTATTGTAGTTTCTAAGTGTTCAGTGTCTTCATTGCAATATGAAATACATTAAAAATTCATGTTCTGTAGTGACTGTTGTGAAAGTCCTGTTTTTGGGCGTCTATATATTTTTTTTGAATTTTTTTTTAAGTAAAAAGTTTGGGGGATGCTTTTGGGCCATACCCAGCGGTGCTCAAGGGTTGCTATTTCTCATTTTGTGCTGGGAAGAGGGTCACTCTAGGTGATGCTTTGGGGAACTATAATGAAGTACTGGGATTGGCTGCATGCCAAGGCAGGTATCAATTTCAGTATGTTCTCTCTGACCCTGAGGGATATTTCTCTCTTTAAAAGTTAATTTTACATATTTCTTATTTTACTTTGTTGAAATATAGAGGCTACTAAACATAATGATGTAAAATTGTGCAAATTATCGTATTGTTCTCTTAAGAAATTTTAATTTTACTTGTTTTTTGTTCTGGGACCCACATCTGGTATTTCAAGGTGGCTTACTGGCCACATCTGTCTTATTCCTGCCTCTGTTAAGGAATCTCTCCTGGCAGTGCTCAGGGGATCATTTAGAATGCTGGGAATCGAATCTGGGTTGACTCCATGGAGGCAAGCACACTACCTGCTATAATCTTGCTCCAGCTTGTGAAATTTTAATTTTAAACCTAAGTGATCAAATCAGAATATTCTGCTACCATGAAATGACCCATAATTGTGCTTTCTCATTTCAGTATTGCTGCCTCAAAATTTTTCAGAGGAAATTAACTATATAAACATTTGTCAGAAGTTGCTCAGTTTCATTTGGTGCTTGTCCTTTTGTCTATTCTATTATGCTTGTTCACTAGTCTGAAGCTGTCAGTCTTGGAGAGCAGGCACATAGCCCCAGTGAGACTGGGAACGCAGATCAGAGCGGGCAGTGACTGTTCCTTTACTGCTTGGTTCTCCAGTGAGCACAGTTTGTGGCTGCAGATCTATATCAGGGGGTACCGGGCACTGGGTGGGTTTGGAATGGGTATCTCAGTGGAGATACATCTGCCCCAAAGACAGTTCTCAGTTCTCCTGAAAAGTGTTACCTCCACTTACAATAACATCCTTCTATAAAGAATCAGTTCATTGGGGCTAGAGTGATAGTACAGCAGGTGGGTCGTTTGCCTTGCATGTGTCCGACCCAGGTTCGATTCCCAGCATTCCATATGGTCCCCTGAGCACTGCTGGGAATAATTCCTGAGTGCAAAGCCAGGACTAACCCCTGTGCATTGCTAGGCGTGACCCAAAAAGAAAAAAAATCAGTTCATTGACATTGGTATCTGTCAAAATGCAACTAGACTCGTTTTTCATTAGTAATACAAAAGTTAAAAATTTTTCAAAAAACTGGGGACACCTCAGTTGTTGTATGCAACATATACAGTAAATATGGGGCCAGAAGAAGGTGAAATTATTTTGCTAAAACACGTTCAAGTCACGTCTGGTCAGTGTGGAGCCCTGTTGGAGTTCTTCCTGGCACAGCTTCCTGACTACCTGGACATGTCATTTTTGTGGACAAGCTCCAAGTAGCAGCTTGATGGGGACGAGCTGTGGCTGGGGAAACCGGCATTCCCCAATGATTAGCAGGACTCCACAGTCTTGCAATTGCCTGTGGCTGGGGGTTTGAGATAGGGGCAGGCACTCTAGTGTCTGAAAAGCTCATTGTTCTACCTCTGCATTAGCTCATAGAAATCCCGTGAGGCCTCATTACACCCTGTCCCATCTAGCTCATGTAAATCATAGAATCCCCTTCCTCTTCCTGTCTATGATCCACACATAATGCATCCATTTTTGCCCCTATACAACTATTATTCTCCCCAATAAACTTTGTCATATGACCATCAGTCTGTGACCTGCGTGGATGGTATCTCCCAATTTATCCATAGCGTGTGTGTCTTTGAGCCATCAGGCCTAGAACGCGTAATGGTCCCTGTGTCCCCAGGTCTCTAAGTTGTACTGACAGGGATCTGAATGATGTGAGAAAATGACACAGAGACCCACATAATGAGGTAAGTGGGAGAATGGGACTAAATCAGTGCAGAGTTAAGGCACTGACACAAGGTAAGAAAATAGGAGACTCTAGATGGGATCTCCCATAGCTGCACTGATGGCTACATAGGCAGGGTTCAAGTCCCTGTCCATAGCTGCTGACAGCTACAAAATGGATTCTGGAAGAATCAGTTCAGGAAATAGAAATAGGATAAAACTGAGGTCTTTCTACATGTGCAGGACCAGGATTAGGAAACCATGGAAAAGGTTTCTGTGGCTATTAAGTCGACTACAAAGGGTTAAAAGGAAGTTGCTGTGAGATGCATATGTGGGGCTGGGACTGCTCTGGGGGGCTGGAGGAGCTCTGTGAGGAGGGTGACACTAAAGCCAAGTCATGGCAAAGGGCAGGAAAGGCCCAGGGACAGGACTCCCCCAAAGAAGTTGAAGAAGAGAGGAAGATTTGCCTTGAACCTGGCAGGGGGGTAATAACTAACCTTGTGGGTGCAGGGACGGAAAAGGATTCTCCGAGGGAACGGGTTAGCCTGTGTGGTCAGTACAGTGGGAAGATGGTCCGAGGACTGCATCCACCTTGGGAAACCCACCTCATACTACACAAAAATCAGCCCATGAACATTTGAGTCTGTTGGGACTACAGATGGTACTTGCAGACATCTGACCCAGTTTGATCCTCGGCGTCACACAGGGTCCCCTGAGCATTGATGGGTACAGCTGGGGAGGCACTGCAGGGCCACTGGAACTGTGTCCTGGTTGGTTGAGAATTGCCAGGGGCTCTTAACCTCCCAAGCACAGCTTCCAAGTCCTTCTTAAAATATATATATTCTCATGACTATTAAATAACTACCCCCAATACACTAACCATATTAGAAAAGCTAGGTGCATTAAATAATTAAGTTTATAGGTGTCTACATTACAGGATACCTTTAGGTGAAATTGGTCACAATCGCAGTTGTAAACATAGAACCCACAAAGGGTGAATATCTGTGACACTAAACAGTACGTCTAGTGAAACAACCCTTGGGCAGCAAGTGTAACTAAGCCTGTCACAAAAGAGAAATCAGAAGTAAGGTGGAAGAGAAGTCCACAGTGCAATGGTACTTAATAACTATTACATTGGGAAAAACCTGCCAAGTCTGGAGACCGCTGTCTATAGAGTTAATGTTGGGCTTGTATCCAATATTAGAATTACATAAGTAAAACTTAATTACATAAGTAAAATCCAGTTGTGTGCGTGCTCCAGCATCTGTAGTGTGGGTCAGAACAGAGAATCGAATGTCCATTAAAGGGAAGATTATGAATGTGAGACTGTACTCCTGACGGACTGTTGCATACTTTGCATATTCACCTGTGAGCCTGGGCAGTCATAACACCATCCCAACTACACTTGGAGGCAGAGTCAGGAGCGATGCCACTGAGCAGAGCACACAGCTATGTCCATGATCACAGAGTTGGGTGGACAGCCACTGGAACTGCAGCGTGAATCTGGTTTGGCAAGTCCAGGCAAGCCAAGTATATGGACAGAACGGTCAGATATCTGGGAACAGGGTGTGAAGAAGCCAGAATTCAGCGGTGCTTGGCCCAGGAGAGGGTGTCTGGCTGAGCCCAGAATCAGCAATGTCCAGCTCTAGTTCTCCCATGTTGGTACAGATGTTCCTGGGATGTATTTCTGTTGTGTAATTAAAAGAGTAATAAAACAATTCTGAAGAGAAAGCCTGTGATTCTGAAGATGGATAAAGGGGTGTGTGCAGGTGGCTGGCTACTATTTTTGACAGCATCACTTTCAAGCTTCTTGCATAGGCATATTTATTCACTTTATTCCTTTTCTACTTACAAGCTTGTGGTTTTAGTACTCTAAATGGTCTGGTTTTCATTCAGTGTGTATATTTCAGATCAGCAATGCAAAGCCAATTTTGTTCCAAGATAATATTCTTGGAAAAAATATTCACAAAGGAAATTGTAAAGAGGCAAAGTGTGAGTGACACGGTGTCAAAATTGGGTTGTTTTCAAATATGTTTGGAAATCTAGCTTTTAAAGTAGGAAATGTAATAAGAATTTCATTTACCAGGTGTGATCATAAAACAATAAAAGTAGTTTTCTGTTGCTCATAAACTAGGGCTGGAAATGATTTCTAGTCCGGGAGCCAGTCCACAGCTGCTGAGTGGCAGCCACATCTTAGAATGAGAATTTTTATTCTCCCTCTGTTGGGGAAACTTCACAACTTTGACTAGATGTGAGTTCTGGTATTTGCTAAAAGTGCAAATCATTTTTTATAGCACATATACATTACAAATACCTGCTAGCTTTGAATTGACCCTCCAAAGTTGTTTAAAATGCTCTACAGGGACCAGAGCAGTAGTGCAGCAGGTAGGGCGTTTGCCTTACTTAATTCAGGGTTCGGTTCCCAGAAGCCCATTCTGTCAGGAGTAAACCCTGAGCCCAGAGCTAGGAGTAAGCTGTGATACTGCTGGGTGTGGCCCCAGTACAAAACACAGCAGCAACAAAACGTTTGATGGGGGTGAACTTTTTTTCACTCTTTTCCCAGTGACTCACTGGGGTCTTTTCACTAATCCTGTCAGGTGTTAGGTGAAGTGTATTCTAGTTTCGTTTTTTCTTTTTATTTTATTTATTTATTTTTGGGTCACACCCGGTGATGCACAGGGGTTCCTCCTGGTTCATGCACTCAGGAATTACTCCTGGTGGTGTTCAGGGGACCATATGGGATGCTGTTGTATAATTAGCCCCTAGTTTTTGCTTTTAAAAAAGTTTTCTGGGTGGTATAATTGATACAATGGACATAAAATACACTGTGCACAAAAGGTGGAAAATTTTGGTGACTTTGGGGCTGGAGTGATAGTACAGCAGGTACTTGCATGTGGCCGACTGAGTTCGATTCCCAGCATCCCATATGGTCCCCTGAGCACCACCAGGAGTAATTCCTGAGTGCAAAGCCAGGAGTGTATCACCCTGTGTATCACCGGGTATGACCTAAAAAGAAAAAAAGAGTGACTTTGAACATCGTCACCTCTGAAGTTATCACCAGAATCAACATGATCTAGTTAGTTCCTTG